ATGCTTTAAATTATTGGTCCCAACTGTTCTTTAATTCAGACCCACTGCTGGAACCCACTGTAAGAATAACAGAAATGTTATTTCTTAGTTCAGATATTCATCTATGTAATTTCGTATTTTTATTTCTTCAAGTGCATTCTGTGCTTTTCCTTCTTGGATACTACTTTTCACCATCTCCACAATAACGAAAGGATAATTTTCTGTTTCACAATGGTGACTATCTAAGGTCTGTTCTAATTAACACTGATAAAAGAGGAAATATAAGATTAGAGAACAAAAAAAAGTGGAAGGGGAACAGAGAGCTTATTGCATGTGTTCAAGGAGTAAGAAGCATCAGAAGCAAAGATATAGGAGTCATGTGAATCGTCCGGATGCTATAAATAATTCTAAGGTAATGTCTTTTCTTTAAAAACTGTCATTAGGAAAGTGAATCAGGAGAACGTGATAGGACAAGAGTCTGTGGTTTGAATTTAGAAGAAACATAATTACACCAGTCCAGGGTGCAGAAAGTGTTCTGATACTGTTAGATACTAAGACCAGGAAACAGCCACTGGGAGGAACTTAGTTGTGCAACCTTGCTGGAGTTGGTGGAAAGAGCGCACAGGACTGGGCAGACATGAGGCAAGGTGTTCAGGAGTAGCTCAGCAGAAAGGCAGGGGAAGGAAGGCAAAGACCAGGCTGGTTAACACAGGTAAACATCACCTGGCAGACAGGGAGCTGCCTCATGGGTGACCAGTGAGGTGATCTATTTCTGTCTGCACGGCCACCAGGTTACCCCAGAGCTGCTCTGTCTCCCACCCCATCTTTGGTTCAGGTGCCTCCTTTGTTTTGCTCTTCCCACAGTGGCATTTGTCAAAGCTGAGAGCTGGGCTGAGTACAGCCCAGGTGAGCTGATCTGCTGCACAGCGTGAACTGCAACAGAGAGTTCCATGTGTTAATTAGATGCAGTGGGAGGGGAGGAACGAGGATTTAGATCAATGAGAGTCTAGTCCAAAGTAACAGACCCGAACTGTTACGTACTTGACCTTGAGCGTGCTTAGGCTGGTGGGGAAGCAGAGGAGTTCACATAAGTGCTAATGCTAATAGGGGCTGGTACACTGAAGCATTTATTCATGTTCAGCAGAAACCACCGTCTGTTCTTCACTGCTGTTGGATGTCTAAGCAGCGACATGTCAAACATCTTCGAAGGCTTTTTAAGCCTCGGAAACCATCATGTTGTAGTTACCTACAGACTGTGGCAAATCAGAATCTATGTGAAAGTAAGTCTTTCAAAAGAAGGGAAGAAGAAAGCTAACACTGTTCCAGCTCACACTCACTTGCCATTTGAATGCTTGGTGATCTTTGTTAGTGAAAATAAATGTAATGATTATAATAGTACTTTGAAATTATACAGTGCTGCTGTGATGTACTAATGTCTTCTGAAATAGCAGAAGGTGAAGCTGCTGATCACAGCTGCTGTGCTCTGTGCAGACAAACTACTACATATTTTCAGGGATTTACTGTATGGGCTTCAGCTGGTGCACCTTTCCTCTACTGTGAATACAACCACATAACCGATGCTTTAGACCCAGGAGGACAAAAAGTCTGGAGTTGGTAATAATATAAGGTATCTCATGTTACCCTAAGATATCTAAATACAGTCTTTGCTAATTAATATAATAGTGAGGTATATTTTAATAGATTATTGGGTACTTTCATGCATCTGCAATGCTAATTTACTGTCTCTGCATGAAATTGAAAGCAGGATATCACAGAGCTAAATATCCCGAATAGCAGCACAAAATGTTTTGCTGCTTCTTATCAGTTATTTAGTCTCAATAGCAGGGAGTGTGCATTTTTTTATAACAGGAAAGCAGCTGTTATGCTGGAGTTCCCATTTTTTGCTCATCTGCTGAAATGTATTGGTTCAGCATCTTAGAATTAGACCATGTATGGATATGAATATTGTTTTCGGGAGATAATTTTTGGACTTCTAATGTAAAGATTTACTATTTGTCTTGAGAAATATCCTTTCTGCAAAATATTTACCTGACAAGCAGATCCAGTTTGTCCCATGTAGTAACTTCACACAAAGCACACCCAGACTTCCCTCTAGACTCTCGTACCAGCAAATAAGTTCTTTGAATCCATGCCTGTACTTTTTCTCAGATGCAACAAAATATAGCTTGAGGAAGCTAAATCTGTTTAAAACTGATTTCAGTCTACCTTATCAACCTTTTCTCAGCTCCCTAAAGATAACAAGTAGGAACACGACATTTCACTACTATGGGTCAGCTGTTATCTGACAAATAGAAATCCTGGGGGCTGAAACTCCAGTCTGCTCTATAAATGTTGAGATGGAAGTTACATTAGTATGCTAAATTAGAAGGAAATGTGAAACTTTTTGGTGTGTACTCCTTCTTTGTCTTTTTTTAAACTGGTGATTCTTTTTGAGTTGTCTATATTCATCCATACTAATTATTACAGTGGTTTACCAGCACATTTGCATTGATACATTGCATAATCCTAAATTATCATTTTGGTTTTCTGTGTTGCTACTCTCCGACCAACTGAACATCTTCTGTTGTTTTTCTTGGCTTAACTGCAGATTGTCTCCACCCTCTTTCCTTCTGCAACTGATCAAATTCTGCAAAGAATTCTCTGCTTTGGATAGACTATCGGTTCCCACCCATGCTGTTCCCACCGAGGCTGGAAATGTTATTAATTTTATTTAGTGTGGGGAAAAACTTGGTTAACCCTTCAAAACCATCTTTTAAGTTCTGTAATTCAATGGAGTCTTTATTTACAGTGGTAATAGCTATTTTTCCCAGTGCTGTCCAAACTGAGGTCTCTCTGGTTACAAAAGAATGAAGCACTGTTTTCCACTTTCATGGCAAAATAGTCCTATTTTATTTTTCAGTTTGGGGAAAAAACACCATAACCTAGTTTAGAAGGTTTTCTAGAAAAAAGAAGCAGCTGTTACTTTCCACGTTATGCTATCTTAATGGCCTTTGTGCCAGGGACTGTGGGAGGAAGGCAAGCAGTCATATACAACCTGATGATTGTAAACCTGTTACTCTGAGATTCAGAGTTTCCTCTTCTTTCCAGTCCTGATCTTTGATCCCACACATTAGCACATGAGCACTGAATTTCATTTTTCTCCCTTGATTAAAGGGGTGTTTCCCTTCTTTGGACTCAAAATTATCTAGGTACAATATTGTAGTGTGATGTGTGTACAACCAGTTCTCAAGCATTGTTGTTTCAGATATTTACAGTGCCCCTGATAGAAGCTGGTTTTACTGAGGTCTTCATTAGGTATGCCTAAAGCTGTGCTGATATGAACTATGATTTCCTTGCACAAACACAAGAAATGTGAGTGGTGACGGTATGGAAGATATAAATGAAATCTTTGGAAAGCTATACAAAACTGAGGTGTTGGCTTTCCTTCCTGAGGACCCACCAAAGAGCAGCTGGGAGGAGGTAAGAAACTTGAAAAGAAATGTGATCTGGGGAAGACCTGAAACTTAGTGTCATCTGTGACAGTTTCATGGCAATTGTGTTGGGTTTCACTTGACCATACCAACAATGTAATTACATCTTACCTGTCCAACCCCCACCCCCTGCCTCATATAAAAGGTATTGCCTTCTGCTGAAGAGTTCTGGTTCTCAGGCAGCAGCAGAAGATATGCCAACTCCTGATAATAATTATATTAGTAAAGACAAAAGAAATAAATAGGAATTTCCTGGAGAATGATATTAGGAGGAAGTAGGGTACCAGATTAACTTCTTACATGGAAGTCGCTAAATTTTATAAAGGATTCAAGTAACAACAGAGAGATGTCGTGGAGAATACAGACAGATACTAAAAGAACAGTGCCTGTGAAAGGTGACAAAATCCAATTGCTTTAGAAGGAGAAAGCAGTATTGCTGTACAGCCATCATCTCTATGTGCACAGACAGAGAAGGTGGATACGTGAATTGGCAGACAAAGTGAAAGAAGCTTATAAGGACAACAAAACTTTACAGGCAAGAATGAAAGGAAGGTACATCTAATATTAGTATGTATTTAACTACTTCTCCCTCATTAAGGAAATAACTAGTTCAGAAAATAGCCATAGCTAATTTACAGCAATAACAGTGGTGCAGTACCTTCTAAAACACTGCACAGTCAGCATTTCCAGCACACACTTAGTTAGTGGCTTTGAATGAATGTTTGACTGGGGCCTAATCCTACAGCAGAAATTCCCAAATATCCTTTTTCCCTAGTGGTCTGCTTGTTTGGAAGTGTTTTAGAAGGATAGCAGTTCAATGTTCCTGTACTTCTGTCCTGAAATGTCTTGGTGGATTTGTTTCCAACTGCTTGGTCAAATGGTCCCAGAAATCTTTTCAATGGTTTTGCATGGTCTACAAGTGCTGATCACAGATGGGGGCCTCATTCTGTAAGGAACTGACATCATGTCAAGACTGGAGCACATTAGTCTGGACTCTCAGACTCCTGAAAGTGAGGCATTGTGATTTTCTCTATTTTTAAGCTCCTTTTCCTGCCCACCATTGCACTTCAGACACCTTAGGAGCAAAATAATAACTCCACGTGCACCCTCTCTATGCTTCAAGGCACCAGCAAAGTTGGCTTGAGCTTCACTCTGCAGGTGTTGACAGCAACCTCATTTGCAAATGTGGCACTGCCTTTGTTAGCACTCTCTCAGGGAAAAAAAAGAACAGATTTAGATGTTTGGGGTTTTTTTATATCTCTTCTCGCAGTCTTTTCCCTAGATGATCTTTTCTATCTGTATGTTCTGGATCTCTCCGTCTTTTTGCTACAGGGACTTATGCCAGAAGAAGACCCAAATGAAGTAATCAGTCTTCTCTGCACCATATCCGTTAGTACTGCCCTAAAGGATCCCTGCAGGTGACTCAACCACCACAAAGAAGGCATCCCTTTCTTGCTGCCTCTGCCTACCCAAGTGCATGCCATTCAGTTGTGAGCCCTACAGCAGGTCTAGATCATGCTCCACAGCTAAGCAGTAACTAAAACTTCAAGTGTCCTGTTAACAGTGTCACCCAAGTATAATCCAGGCCTTGACTCAAATTGACAAGGACAGGTTGGCCGCTGGAATAATCTCTTTAAATAGCAATAGCCACCTCTCTCAAAGGCACTTCCCTCCCCCAGCCAGGCTGGAGAGCTGCTTACAGTGCTGCCGCCCGCTATTTCCCACTGGGCATTGCAGGGCTGGCACTGCTTGCAGGCAAGTGTGTCCCTGCCCGCAGCCTCCTAGCTTTGCTTCGCAACAGGAATTACAATGAATTTTGCAGCGCAGTTTCTCTACTCCAGGGTGCTAAAAAACAGAACTCCCAGGGACCGCTCCAGGGAAGATGAAGAGTACGACCCTTTCTGGCAAAGGTTGGAAAATATTGCTGTCTGACTTAGAGCTAGAGTGCTCCTTTCTCCCCCTGAGGGGTCATGGTCAGCCCTTGGGGTCCACCCAGGGCGAGGCCCACGGACATGACAATCCCTGGATCCCTCCTGCCTCCCTATGGTGTCGTAGTTGGAGTTTTGCTTCGCCTCATTGTTTATTTAGTCGCTGTGCTGTATAGGTAATGCTTTCTTTTTCCTTTCCTTATTTTATATATATATAAAAAAAGAAATTCTATTTTTCCAATATCTGCCAGGGTTCTGTGGGTCTGAGTTGCCTTTGGAGTCATCCACTAGAAGCAGTGGAGATTTGAATACTTTAAGCCCATGGAATTCAGCTTTTTTATTTCTACATTAGTATGATATTAGACATAACACTAGACAAGCCAATGGACTGCTCAAAATTATCTTGGGATAGCCTGTATCATATCCTGCTATTACAGGTGTTCTGCAGTTGTCTCTGTTATGGTGCTTATGGTCTTCCTGAATCCCTCTTTTCAGGCTTGGATGGTGCAGATGGAATTTAGCAGATGTCTAGTGCTCTTGCATAGCATCAGATTGGGGGGGGGGGTGGGGTGGTATGTGCTATATGGTATAGTTGTGTTTGCACAACCTTGCTTTTAACCTTTTCTATGGTTGTTTTCTCCCCCAATTTTATTATCTGGACACTGCTTGCAAGATCACAGCCTGGTGTTGCCGGATGTGGTATAAACATGGGGCAATTCTCATTTTGTGCATCCTGCCAATAGTTGCAGATGTTGGTAATAAGTGCGCTCAATGTTGTTAACAAACCCTCAGGAGCACCAAAGGGGAAGACAAAATCCCAGTTCTGCATTGAAAAAATGACTTGCCCAAAGTCACACATGATGTAATGCGCTCTGCAGCAAACTGAGAATCTTAAACCATTCTTTTCATCTCAGGACCACTCTTTCCTCTGGGTAATGCTATTTGTTCTTTATTACAAATGAATTATAGAAATGTGTTAATCACCAGAGAATCTCTAAACTCAGAATACATTTAACTTAAAGAGGAAAAAATGTTTAATTACTTAAAGACTTTAAACTGCCAAACTGCTGGCAATGTTTGATAGTGATCAGTTAACATACACAGCTGTGAATGTCCTGTAAGAACTGCTCAGTGGTGGGTGTTTGAGGGACACTGGATGGTGTTGAAGCAGAGGTAGCCAAGAGGGGTGACCTTCTGAGTTCCTGCATTCGGTTTACTTTCTCATGTTATCTGTTTAGCAGCTGACACACAGTTGCCGTTGCCAGCAGTAAGCAATGACATTTCCACAGTGTGTGAAGAACACTGGCAGTGGATTATGACCACAGAGGAAGGCAAATATAGTACTAGGCTCAGGCCCTGGTAAATCTGACTTACTGAAAATAAGGAGATATTTTATCAGAAGCTATAATGCAGATTGATTGTTCCCTGCATGAGTCTGAGCTTTCTTTACATTTGTGGCTGGTGTAGCATCACCTGGTTTTGTCAGACCTGTATATTGTGAGTAGAGTTATAAACATCTGCTCTGTTACAAGGCTTGATTATTATGTACCTATCTAGGCTGAATAGACACAGTGAGTACATCTCCAAATTTTTGTGTCATACAGGCTAGTAACTAAGCCTGACCTCTTTTGTCTTAAAGACACTCTGATAAGTAGCCCTTCTATGAACGTCCTGCAGAAGTCTTAGGCAACTCACTCTGTAACTGCCACCGGTTGAAGTGGTGCACTCTCAAACGGGTGTTTCTAAGTGCTAGTGTTATACAAAATAATAATAATTTGAGGAAATAATGTTTGAGTGCAGTATTGTCTTTATCTAACTGTATTGTGAGAGTGATCCAAGGTGTTCTTTCCTCATGCCTTGGGGACTTACTTAACTTGTCACCCTGTAGTGCTACAGAGGACACTCAGACACTATCTAGTGCAATAACCTAGAATTACTAGCAGTGAAGATGATATCTATTATGTTTCCTGCAATTTGTAAGTCAGCAAGGCTCAATTTTTTATTTTAATTATCATCTATCTTTCATATAGCTGCTGAGATGCTTTTAAGAATTGCTGTTATTGCAGCATTTGGATGTGTTTGGGGAGGAGGGCAGAAAAAGTACAAGAGGAGTTGGGATGTAACAGGAATAATTAGGTGCTACTGGGAAAGGGGATTGCAACAAATGGGGAAAGTATTAGAGGGGTGTGGAAGGCTCAGGCATTCAGAAGGGTCAGAGCAGACAGGGCTGGAGACATGGAATAAGAAGGATTAATGGAGCTGGGGAGGTTCAGGTTAAAAGAGGGATTTAGATGAGGGAAAGGGCCCTCTGTCATATCCTGGGATTACTGCTTTCTCACTGACTTGAAAGGAGATCCTAGCCTTGGTTACATCTCAGTCATAAGACAGGCAGACTGCTACCTCCATCAGGCTGCTCCTCCTGCATCACTCTTCCCACCCCCTGCTCAGTATATGACCCATCTCTGCTCAACTCTTTGAGGAATGAAGCAGAACTGACTTTAAAGGGGTCACATTTTTGCTGTAACAAATATTCCAAACTTGCAGGCATAAGATCTGATCCCATTTTAGCAGAAAGCAGATGACAAATATGTCTAAAACGGTATCTTATCAATATCTGTTGCTCAGTGTGCTCCATGAAGATGTTCAGGGAGCCTGAAGGTGATGGCAGCATCTTAAGAAACCCAGACCATTAAAGAAGAATGAAAGAAAAAATTCACATATAGAGAACACATGTGTATGTGTGCTGATAAGTTAATTACAGGCTAGCCCCAATTTACTGGGATGGTTTGAAGTAGTGTTCAAGCTTAACACTTTGGCAGTTTTCACCATGTTACTGATCAGTCCAAGCTGGACACTGGAGTTTGAAATTCTTGTCATGGTGTAGGTCTAGAAGGATGCTAAAATACTCTACAGAACTTGTACCATACTCCCTCTTCATGGTGAGTGTGTACCTTTGTGAATGCAGATGATAAAAACTGCTCTAGAAATGGCACAGAAATGCTGAGTTTTCAGTCTTACACTACAATTTCTTTGTTTCCTTTTGTGGCACTTGAATTTCTTTCTTGAAGCAGCACAGTAACATGGGATTATATATCCATAATTCCAGCTTCATTTCTGCCTCAAAATGTGTTGTTGTGACTCATTTTGTAAGAGGTGTAAAAGCTACCAAATGGGCCAAATGTTGATACTGGCTATGCCTGCAAATCGAAATGGCAGACCAAAGAACAGTCTACTCCCATGTCTTCTCTGTAGTGTGGTGGCCAGTAACAAGAACTTGGAGAAACATGAGATCCACCTGAGATGCTTTCTTTCATATGTTTTCATGGTGTCTGCCAAGTAGGTGCTTAGGAGCTTTCGGAATCACAGGTTGCTTCTTGAATGTGTTTATTGATTGTTATTAGACCTACTTCCATATAGTTGCCCAGGTTTCTTAGGAAGCCATTTGTACTATTGTCCTTCATAGCATCCTGTAGCGAAGAGTTCTGTGAGCTAGTTATTTTCTGTAAGAAGGGAACTTTTAAATTTTCTATCTGATGCTTTCATATGACCTTCCCCTAACAATTATACTGGGAGAAACAGCAACTGATCCTTCCCAGTCTGCTATTTACTGGACACCCATGACTTTGTGGTTTTTTGCTCGTTTGGTTTTAGAAGCTGAAGAGATCCAGTATCTCTGTTTAATCTGTTTAGTCTGTTTCATGGATCCTGAGGAAGGCAGTCTGTGTGTGCTTCATCTGATGAGGACGTGTAATTTTCCCATCATCGCAGTAAAACTGTGTTGGCATTTCTTTCTCCTGGTAGTGAAGGCAACAGTCGTCATCTTTAGGCATAGTATGCCCTACTAGTGCATTTTATCTTCCCAAAATTATTTTAGTTGAGTTTGTTTATTGATATTACCATTTTTCCAAATGTATTTGTCCCAGTGTTATTTAACCCTGGTGAAAATTACCAGTATGTTAAAAGAAGAATAAAAAAGAAAAAAATGGAAAATGGAAAAATTATTCAGTAAGTCATTACTTTTCATCATTCTAAGAGTACATTTCAGCACACACTCTCTTTGCATTGGCTTTGAGACTTCAACCTATGTAAAGCTATCTGCTTAAACAAATGGTACTTTTTCCAGTTCCTTAATTATTCATGGAACATCTGCATATGAATATCCTCTTTTATTTTTTGCAGTTATGCTGAGGAGCTGCTCTTGAAAAAGTAGGTTTATAAACTGTATTTTCATGTTTGCTTTTACTAATCACATTAAAGGTAAAATGTCATAATTTATAAGCATGTAACAAAGCTTGCCAGTTGGATATTTGGTTTATGGCTGAAAATAAACAGACTTTTTCATGAAAACTTGCTAGACAAACTCTAAAAAAGGAAAAGCAATCCATTTGAAAGGAGCAATATTTTATAATGCTTGGTTTTGTATTTATATTGGCTCAGAGTGGTGGGCATGATTGCTAGAATAGGAGCCATGTTTTGTTACTCTGCATGAGAAGTCATGTGCTGTCTTTCTGTGAGCACTTGCATGCTTTGCTGCCTTCTTTGGCTGTTTCTGCAAAACAAATTCATATTGAGGTGATCTACACCAAACATATGAGCAGTGTTTGAGGAGGGAAATGCATCTGATACAACAGGCTTATTAGCTGCCCATTTCTGATGGATTATCAGACCTCAACCCACTGATTACCTTGGGAGTTTGAGAGCTCGTAGTGCATCTGTGGCACACCTGGGCAGGTTCAATAGGGAAAAATGCCCTTTGCTAATGTTAATGAAAAATATGTACATAGAAGGGGAATTAAAAGGCCATCTGAAATAAATACATGCAATGCATACGTATACAATAGCATGATGATACTCCTTTGATAATGAAGCTGCTGAGCTTTCAGATGCAAATGGATGATAGTTTCTATATTAAATGTTGAGATGGTAATGTTTCAGATGTCTTTAAACCTATCTCAAGCTTGAAAAGCCAATGAATATTTTTCAGCTGGCTTGAGTTTTGTTATTTTATTCTAATGGTCGTAAGGTGATGTCTCCATCAGGGTCCTGATACTCACTGTTCATGAAAGCAGTGCCGCAGATTAAGGACTGAGAATCTGATTTAATTTATTTCCCTCCTTTGTTCTGACCAAAAAAAAAAAAAAAAAGAAATAAATCTAAGAATAGGGCCAAAAATCAGTATCCCATTTTGGTCTTTCTGTTTGCAGATAAAAGTAGTCCATAGCAGTAGTTTTGTGAGGGGTTACACTGCAGTTTGTACTATCTAGGAGAATCCTGGTTCACCAGTGACTTCTGGTGGTCATCTTTGGCTTGTTTTTTTTTGTTTGTTTTTGTTGTTTTTTTTTTTGTTTTGTTTTGTTTTTTTGTTTTTGTTTTTTGTTTTTTGTTTGGGGTTTTGTTGTTTTTTGTTTTTTAATTAATTTTGTAGTTAATTGTAACAGATGCAAGAAAAAAGCATGAATTTATAAAAATCACAACTTTTTGATCTAGCTATATGTTTTACCCTACATATACACTTTCAACCCAGTTTAAAGTAATGGCACTCAGTGTAAGAAATGTCATTCATTGCTAGTGCTTGCTAAGCATTTTTAGGTAATATATTCAGAGATAGGATGTATATGTTGTTCTTTTTGGAGTGATTATGGGCTACTGTGATATGAAAGATTATTTTTGGGGGGAGGTAGGGAATGAACTCTTAACAACAATGCGGCTTCTTAGATGATGATAGCTGTTGTTTATGCTAGGGGCTATGCTGTAATAAGTTGAAAGGGAAACAGTGATCTGATTTTCATCTTTGCATTAAGCAAACACTGGAAGATTAACATCTTTATGAAGTGTTCCAACCCTCTAACCCCAAAGGAAAAGAAAAAAGTATGGAATAGAACACATTGATAAGCTATTTAATTTGAAGACAGAATGCCTGATGTTTTGGGTGTATAAGCTTAAAGACATGGCATTGGGAAAAGATTTTAAACCACAAGTTTCAGCATAAATAAGTTACAAATAAGTGAATACCTTATCTTAGAAAATTAGCTTTGATCTCATAAATTTTGAAGAGAGAAGAGCTTGGTATAAAAATTCTCCTTTTTTGTATTCTATGAGGTGATAGAGAATGATTGATGCTACTGGTGTATTACTTGATTCAAGTAACAACCCTTCATATTGTCCATATTGTTACATGATGTCCTCAGTGGAACAATTGGAAGAGTAATAGGAAGCAGAGGTACTGGCACAGATTATTAGGACCACAAAGAAGAGGGATGATGCTGCCAAAAGTGGGGCAAATTACTCAAAAGCAAAGGTTTCTAGATTTATTTATTTTTTTTTAAGGACTACAATGCACGTTACGGTGCTGATGCTGCTGTAAAACCAGCTTTAGCCAGCTCTGCTGATGGATAACTGCCTAATTTAAATCCAGATTATTTTTTTTCATGGTAAATATTTTTTGCTGGAGATGATGGTATGATCTCTGACATAATGTGACATGTACATTTTTCAGAAACCCCTGTCTTCCAGATAGATTGAGTCCTCCATGTAGACGGGGTTGTACCCTCTGTGAAATCATAGCCACAGATGGGGGTTGGTATCAACTCTTTCCCAAATCACTGGATTTATGCTTAATACTCCTTCTTCCCCACGTTACTCTCCAAATTCCCAGAATTCCCAGAAGTTTTGCATTTATTTGGTAGTACAGCTGAAAACTCCTACACTGCAGCATATTATCCCTTGTGAACTTGTGAACACTGTGGACCATAGAGTAAGGCAATTGAAGGTAGGAAAACTGGCAAATCTTTGTAGCAGTGTTGACTCTCCGAAGTTTCTTGTGAAAGAGGGTGTGTGGAATCATAGTGTCATCTTACCTACAGGTATTTTTATCCAACTCACAGATCAGGAGACCCAGTTCTTTAGCTCTGTAGTAGGATATAATTGTTACCCCTTGTCAAAGTAACTTCCTTCCCATCAAGAGGCAACTGTTGGCTGTTGAGAGTATGCTCTGCAAGTATGCAAGAGTGGAAAAGCAGACCTCTTGTGTGCAATGTAATGACATTTGTTACTGCTATTAATAGCATAAGGGAATGGTCTACAGCAGTTATTTGCCTTTTCTGAAAAACATGGAGCTGCATACAACAAATACAATTCCAGTTATTCCAAAATTTCTGGAAACACTGAATTAGGATCATTGCCTACTGAGTACTGAGGAAGGTCTGGCTGTCCTGACTGCACAGATTAGATCTTTCTCATTGTCCTGGGTATGAGAGTTTCATAGTTTGTCCACATGCCAGATTACCTTAGGGTCTTCTAAAAGCTGGCTAGTTACAGGAGCCTTCAATCCACCCACATGATAGGTTATATAACAGTAATAATTCAGTCTGCTCATTTGAGGCTTGCAAACAGCAACTGAGATGTGCATCCTTCTTAAATGCCAAGTGTCGAGCTTTTAATTATCCCGGCTTTCCTAACAAGTTTCTTTTATTTGTTTGTAGAGATGACAATAAAATAAAGAAACAAGATGCCCCAGCACTTTGTGATCTTCACTGTTGTAAGGATGGGCCGATAAGAAATGGCCTTATTGGGCAGAAGCCACCCTCTATCAACCCTGACAGACTGAAGGATTTTGGTGAGGAGGATTACCTGAACGGGGATGTGAAGACCTGGGAAATGAAGATCATGAGCCGTAATGAGGAGTTACTTAAGGATGGTCTTTCCCACATCACTCAGTCAAGCAGTAGGACCAGCCTGTCAAGCTGTAACAAGCTGATTCGATTTGAAGATATTAGTGCAGCAGCTTTCAAAATCCAGTGCAGTGTTCAGAAAACCCCCTGCATGGTAGGGAGTGCTTATGGCTTTGCATGTTTCTTTTATTTTCTTTATAAAAGTTAATCAGAAATGAAGGAAGAGTATGTGTGAGTTGCAGCAGATTTGTGTACAATGACTCATGTTCTTATTAGTTGCTGTTAACTGTCAATAATAATTTTCTTCTTACCTGTTAACATTAACCTAAATTCTCAAAGATTGCAGTGACCTGCAAACAAAGGATAAACCTCATTAGACACAGACTTACTGCACTGTGGTATTATGCTCCCGGTGAAAATCTCTTGCTACAAGGAACCTGAGTTGGAGATGCAGACTATTAGTGTTTGGGTAAGCAGTCTGGTGGGAGGGTCTGGTTTGGAACCAGCCCTCATGTTTGGAGAGGTTGAAGGTACAGATTTTCCTTCCCTGCCTGGACAGCCTGGGAAGGCTGACTATGTTCTGTAACAAGATAGTTCTGCCACATGTGTCTTCAAAATGACACACATGCACAAACATAGAATTCCCATAGACATATAAGTGTTTGCTAAGCTGTAAGAGAAGTACATTGGCAGGCTATTTAATTTGTATTGTATTTCCACTGAGGGAAGCTCTTCATGAAGGCTGCTGCAGGCACTCTGTGGCTAACCTCTTTTTCCTGTGTTGGGTGAAAAATGTCTTTCTTTGCCAAATGGCAGTTCACAGCAGCAGCCCAAAATTGAACTCCTGATGCTGACCTGGAGCACCCTCCAGCCTCACTCCCTATGGATTGTCTTTCTATCCTGCACAGGGAAAGGACCTTGGTGTCCTTGGACCACTGCTTGGGGTTAACAGCCCCTGGAGCAAAGTGGTTGGGTCTGCAAGGAGCAGCAGCAGTTCTCGTGGTTCCCAGATAGTGCCTGCTTTTTCAGGGGCAACATAATTACTTTTGGGGGTTCTTTTTTAGCTTAGAGTTCCCAAATTAAGGGTAGCTGTTTTCTGTAGCATACTGCTGAAAAAGTGTGTCTTGTGACAAAGGACATGGTACAAGGCCATTTGGGGCTGTAAGGTGGCACAAAAATCTTGCAGGGTAGTGTTGGCCAGAGTGCAGGGAGTGGAACTGGATGCATTTTGCATTCATATATTTCATATATGTTCAGAGTGACGCAGGAGTAAACCATTCTGCTGGCTGTACCTGGATTTCCTTTCAGAGTGGAGAAGTTGGCTTGCTTGGGAACTCGGGAAGGCAGCAGTGGGAGTGAGCAAACACACCTGCAGCATGGGTGGTCAGAAGGGCTAACAGAGGGAGTGTACCAAACTCTGCACATTGCATCGTTTGTCACCAAAACTCTCATGCTCAAGAGCCCAGACAGTGCTCTAGACAGAAGTGTCAATCTTCTGCTTTTGTTGAGACACTGTTCCGGAAAAAGAAAAGTTACTTTTATGTTGCAGGTAGTGAACTCTTCATCTCTCTGCATTTGACAACTCTGGTCATATTCTTTAGATGGATTTAATCTTGCTGTACAAAGGTAGGCCTATGGGTGAGAGAGTGAGAGTGTCACAGCTTAATTCAAAAAGCAGAACTAGCTAGGTCTGTACCCTTCGATAGACTGGATCATCCCTTCCCTGAAGCTCATGGCATCATGCACTTCTGACAAACAGTTAAAAGATACTGTCTCTGTACATCTGCCAGCGTAAGCCTGCAGGAGCCTTGGCCATGTGGGTCATTGAAGGACCTCATTCACACCTTCATCTCAGATGGATCAGACCAACAGCTCAAAACTAGTAGAGTGCCCCTTGGCCCCATCCCCTGAGCCATCTACCTGCTCTCAAGATATGGCTTCCACTCTGAAAATTTATCAGTCAACACATCCTAATGCAAGAAAGGTGAGACTGCACCGCTGAGTCCATCTTTTGCTCCTACAGGCTTCCATGTAATATGAAATTTTCTATACACTGGTCATGCTCCTGCTCATAAGTAGTTAAGATCTCTTTGGTCAATTCACACCATTTGTTCCCAGACAGCTTTGCCCCTTATGCTAGTTTTGGTTGGGATAAAGTTACTTTTCTGTATACTAGCTAGTATGGGCTATGTTTTGGATTTGTGCTGGAAACAGTGATAACACAGGGATGTTTTTTTATCACTGAGCAGTACTCACACTAAGTCAAGACCTTTCCTCTTCTCACCCTACCCCACCAGCAGTAGGCTGGGGGTGCACAAGAAGCTGAGAAGGAACACAGCTGACTCAAGGGATATGCCAGACCATATGGCATCAGGCTCAGCAGCAAAACTAGGGGGAAGGCTGGCCATGGGGCCCACGGCTCGGGGACTGGCTGGGTATCAGCAGGTTGATGAAGAGCAATTGTTTTCATTTGCATCACTTGCCTTTCTTGGGTTTTATTTCTCTGTCTTTGTTATTTTCCTTTTAATTTCTTTTTCTTTCTTTAGTTTTTGTTTGGGTTTTTGAGATTTTTACATTATTATACTGTTCTTATCCCACTTTTCTGACTTTTACCCTTCTAATTCTCTTCCCCCATCCCGCTTGGCTGGGGTATGGATTAAGTGAATGGCTGTGTAGTGCTTAGTTGCCAGCTGCGGTTAAACCACAACACCCCTCAACTTGAATAGTTCTTTTCTCTTGGGTGTCCCTGGCGGGTTTGTGCAACATAGCTGTATCCCCTTTCTGCATTTACTGTGCCAAGCTAAACAGGCTAACTTTCTTCAGTCTTTTTTTATAAACTATGCTTTTGGGATGATCAGTGGAAAACCTATATCCCCACTTGATTTAGCGTGAAAATAGCCCATGGCTGTTGCTGTTCAAAGTAATATTCCCACAGAAGTCATTAGTATATGTTTCATGCACATGTATTGAAAGCACAGAGTGGTGTCAGAAAAAACACAGATAATCTTTGTTTTAACTCATTGCTGAGAGGTAAGAGCTCCTTTCAGGGGCATTTGTGTGGATTAAAAAAGCAGCTATAACTGTAACCCATTCAGTTAATTGAATGGAGCAACACATTGCAGGCTGATTCCTATCTGCAGGTAAGACCATGAATAGAGTGCCCTGGATCCTTATGCAGGAGTTTCCCTGGAGCTGAAATATGGCATGTGACAGATGTTATAGAGGCCCTTGTTATAAGGAAACAAGGAATTAACACTAACTTGGGTTAAGTTCCTGATGTAGGAATTTTAAGGTTTTTTTTTGTGTTAGCTTTGTGGTTGCCCAATGTAGGCTGTGCTGTGTGTTGTATGTTAGACATAGTATCTGTAGTCCTTAGATAAGATCATGGTGGCAAAAGGGAAAACTTAGAGGCTGGTTCAGTGAGTCTTACAAGGTCACACATCAGGACAGTACAGCTGAAAATAGCACTGACACCTCCTTTGTTAGAATTAATTGCTATATATAGGTTACATGAAAGGAAGCCTCTGTTCAAGGATGCAGAAAAGGAAAACGTAAAGAGTTAAAATATTGAGTATCAAAATTAAAGAAAATAATAATCTGAAGTACACCAGCTCAGTGGTAAAGAGTAACTTAATGACAGATTTTTAAATGTAGGAAACTCAGCAACTTTATAGTCACAAGATTAATTTCCTTTAAATCTTTTTTTCTCATTGTTCACTCTAGAATCCAGGATTTTCTACAAAACTAAAAATGATAGGACTAGTACAGTGTGTGAGGAACCAGTGCAGTACTGTTTCTTATCTAGTGTTTTTGTTCTGTTTGGCATAGGCTGTTTACGATAGAAACTGTTATCTTATTAGTGTACTAAGCATTTTCCATTCTTTCAGTTCTGCAGCCAGGTTTACAAAGGAGCAGCAAGTGGTAGCTCCTATTGCAGGATTTTCCGAGAGAAAATAGAGAGTCTGGCCCCACCTATGGGTGAGGAAGTTAACATATGCTTGTGAATCCACTAAAAAGCCTTGAAACAGTCATCTGAAATGTTTGGTTTTATTCTATACCTTAAAGCAAGTATCTGTTTCAGATATATTTAGTTTATATAATTCACTTTGAAAGTGCCACAGTCTAGAAAATATATCAGTACATATGACTCTGTACACTATACATTGTAGGCATGACATTGCCAGATACTTCTTGAGACAAATATTTAAAATATGTTGCCATGATGTCTTTTAATTTGTCTCTCTGTGAATTATCATGAGTAAGGGCTTGATCCCCTAAATCCCTAGGTCCTCATTTACTTTGGCAGCCAGTGGAAGAAATAGAGCCAATTAGTAAACAGAGGCACAGTAAGCCTAGGGAACTGGAACCCACAGGATTACTGAAGCTCTATTTCACAAGTTATCTTGTTTAAAACTCTTGTTTTAGATAATGTGGTAATAGAAGATTATTATGGTGGTGCATGCTGTGAATGTCTTACTATAAAAATTTACAAAAGTTTTGCCATTAAAAAAATAATTAAAAAGTCATGCGTTTTGGACACTGCATCGCATGTACTCTGTTTGCTAATTCCTCTCAGCTCAGGGGTCCTTTCTGTCCTGAACTCTGAACAGATTCAAACAGCTGCTGCTTACACTTACACTCCAGGGCAATGCTTTTTATTATTTGCACCATTCTTCAAACAAGAGATGTCTTTACTAACGTTGTACTGGCCTTAGGGTGCAAAATGGACAATAGTCAGTAGTGATTCAGTATCAGAAACCATACCAAAGACATAATAGGAGGAATTTTCTGACTGCTTTTGTATTTAGGAGATGACTTTATGTTTGAGGTATTCAACATCCAGTTCTGACAAGTGCTAAAATATCAGACCATAGGCTGTTTCTTTAAATAATTGAAGATACTTATTTTAATATACGTATTTGAACACTAAGACTAAAATAGTACTGGTTTCAGAATTCATAATGGCGTGTGGTACATATTTCACTGCTGCATGTTTGGAAATTTCTTCCATAAGCCAGAAGAATCTGGTAGGTAATACTGTCATGTAAGTCTAAAGAAGCACATTATGAAATTTACATTTCAGAGCTCTTACATAGAAGCTGGATGCATGCCTCACGAGGGAGCTGATGGGGTGTGGAAAGTTTTTCTTAATTTTACATGTATTGCCATTGTAACAGTTTTATACTCCAGTATTCTAGGCTATCCAAGCAGTATGGAGTGGACATCTACCTAAAGAAGGAGTTCCTCCAGTACACTGGATCTGTGAAGGAAAGAGGTGTAATTTACCTTCTGACATCACTGCCTCAGGTATAACAAAATGTCAGCATTAAAAAAGAAATAGATCATAGAATCATAGAATCACAGAATGGTTTGGGTTGGAAGGGACCTTAAAGATGCAGGGACACCTTCCACTAGACCAGGTTGCTCAGAGCCCCATCCAACCTGGCCTTGAACACTGCCAGGGGTGGGGCAGCCACTTCTCTGGGCAGCATGTTTCCTCACAGTAAAGAATTTTTTCCTAATATCTAATCTAAATCTACCCTCTTTTCAGTTTAAAGCCCTTTGTCCTTTCACTACAGGTCCTTGTAAAAAGTCCCTCTCCAGATTTCTTTTAGGCCCTCTTTAGGCACTGGAAGGCTGCCCTAAGGTCTCTCTGGAGCCTTCTCTTTTGCAGGCTGAACAACCCCAACTCTATTGGCCTGTCTGCTTCACAGAGATGGATAGAGCACAATTAAAGATATTTTTTACCTGAATTGGGCATTCTTTTCTTGCCTTTTGAACCATTGTGCGGAACAGCATAGATAGTTCTGCAAGTATCTGAAAATACTACTTAATTTATCCTTGGCCAATTGCTCATAAAATGCTTAAAAATATTTGAAAGAAAAGCTTGCGAAATGTAGACATCAGCATTTTTAATGGAATTTAGGTGAAAGGGTTTGCATGCTTACTATGGTTCTGACATGTTGAAACCACCAGACTTTAAGTGATGATGAAATTGAATTACAATGAGTGATGAGAATAATCTGGATCACCAGTTGATTTTGTAATGAATGTCAGTTATGAATAGCTTGTTTATCATTTGCTGTTGGAGGTTATTGAGTCTCTGCAGCAATAATAACTATAATTGGCATGATACAGCAGCCCAGAAACAGTGGTTATTCCTGCCCTTTTGTAGTAAGATGAATAAATCCTTCTATGAAAGGGAAACCTGAAATTAAATAATTTCATACAGGCAGGGAAGAGGGACCAAATATAGGCTCTGAGGGGCCAGATACTGGCTCTTCTCAGGTCAACTGGAGTTTTACAGTTAATTCCAGTGGAACAAGAATTGAGACCAGAGGAGTGTAGCAACAGGGATTGATCTTGTGCTGTCTTAGCTCTGTATGTCCTGAGATCGTACCAGATATGCATATATTGTATCATAATACCATAATGTGACCAGTTGTAGAAGAAAAGAAGGAAATCAGACCATTAGAATGATCCAGGATCATATGGGATAACTTTGTGACACTACATAACGCGCAATAAGCAACCCTGTTTTTCCAGGATCAGCAAAGAAAGGGGGTGATCGTGGCTTCGGACAATAACTTTTCCATGGCTGTTGCTTACCATGCCTCAGAGCTCCGTATTCCAGTGTTTGTCATCATGTCAACCAGCACATCCCCAGCCAGAGTGAAAATGTGCCGTGAGTATGGTGCCATGGTTATATCCTATGGCACTACAGCTAAGGATTCCCAGACGCACGCAAGAAGGTTGGCACAGGAAAATGGTTATCTCTACCTCGAAGAGTAAGTGCAGAGTCAGACTGAATAGAAAGACTACGTTAGATACTTCTGCAGCTCTGCAGAAACAATTACTTTAATTAAAAATTGATCACAGGTCATCAAAATGTTCCCATTACCTGGAGTATGGACAGTTAAATATTCCTAGGCACAAATCCTGAATCTTTCTATAACAGCTGGGGATGGGAAGCAAAATAAAACAATCTTCCCCCAAATTAGGCAAGCTTCCTGCATAGGAATTATATGGGCTAGCATGATAATGGATATATGCTAACTTTTTATGAACCCTGTAAAAAAGAATTAAGGGTAGCATTCATTTTTGGTCTCTGGTTGGTGTAAGGTGGCTAAAAGCTACTTCAGTGCAAAGGGTTCAGTGGCATAGTGTAGAGCAAAAAAAGGTTAATGCTGTGAAATTTCCACATATCCTGTGTGTGTGACAAAACTGTGATTATGACTTGAAAAAAAGATTATTAAGAGGTTACTTCACATGTATATTTAAAGTAGCTAAGGATGGGTATAAATTTAAGTTTGAAGTATTTAAGGTTATTGAACAAGAGGAATCTAATAAAAACATTATTAGAATAAGACGATGGACAAAAATATTTAGAACTGATCCATTCTCCTTTTTTTTACCTTTTTTTTTCCCCCTCTGCATTCTCTTCTGCCTTTCCATTCCCTTTTCTTTCATTTTTCTATCTTTTCAAGTGAGATTTCCAAAAGCATGGAGGGATGAATCATTAGCATGAGGTAGCTGGCAGTCCCTCTGATGCACTGAGCTGGAATGTTATTCTCTATCCCTGTCACTGCCTCTGTGCAGGCTTCATCCACCACTTCGTGTTTGTAAGGCACCACAGCAAGTGTGTGTTCCCTTTCAGCTGCTAGGCGCTAGTAAATTAAACATAGTAATAATGAGTAATGTTGCTTGGAAAGAGGATGTCAGGATGAGCAGAGTGGAAAAAGTCCTCATTTCTTTTGCAGCTGGTTTGTTGGGAAGGCAACTCTACTCTGCTCTTTCTCCTTTACTCTGCTCTTGTGAGACCTCAGCTGGAGTATCGTGTACAGTTCTGGTGTCCTCAACATAAAAAGGACATGGAACTGTTGGAACAAGTGCAGAGGAGGGCCACGAGGATGATCCGGGGACTAGAGCACCTCCCGTATGAAGATAGGCTGAGAAAGTTGGGGCTGTTCAGCCTGGAGAAGAGAAGGCTGTGTGGAGACCTCATAGCAGCCTTCCAGTATCTGAAGGGGGCCTATAGGGATGCTGGGGAGGGACTCTTCATTAGGGACTGTAGTGATAGGACAAGGGGTAACGAGTTAAAACTTAAACAGGGGAAGTTTAGATTGGATATAAGGAGGAAATTCTTTACTGTGAGGGTGGTGAGGCACTGGAATGGTTTGCCCAGGGAGGCTGTGAATGCTCCATCCCTGGCAGTGTTCAAGACCAGGTTGGACAAGGCCTTGGGTGATACGGTTTAGTGTGAGGTGTCCCTGCCTATGGCAGGGGGGTTGGAACTTGATGATCTTCAGGTCCTTTCCAACCCTAACTATTCTATGATTCTATATTAAAAACTGTACTCTTCAACTACAGTTAGCTCTGCCAAAGCAGGTGGCTCACAGGATGGTTGGTCTGCCTTGTCCATCACCAAGGGCACAACCTTGTCCCAGGCTGAGACTTTCAAAGAAACCTAAGGGAATGAGGTGCCCTAGATCCCACTGAATTTTAAACCCATTTAAGCTTTCTTTGAAAACCACTTTGCTTTCCGTAACTTGGTGATTTCCAAATTCCTGTCAGCCATTTTACAATCGATGTGTTAACTCCCAGCCAGCTTGCACCAGCTATCATGTTTGCACATAAGAAAAATTTTATTGTCATTTCATATTTAATCATCCCCTTCTCCTCAGGTAATTATTTATATTACACAATGTAGGTATTCTCCAGGTTCACGAAGCTCCAGGGACAACACGTGGAGAATTCAGTATGTAGCATTGAGGAACTTGAAATGTACATGTTACCATTAATAATATCAAAGCATTTTGATTTATTTCAGGTTACAAGTAACAGGTATTTCAGGTTACAAGAAACAGAGTTATTTAATCTGTTACTCTGTTTAATGAAGACTTCATAGATGTTATTTTTCACAGTCTGGAGGAGAAAAAAAGAATAGAAAATCCCTCACTACTCTTGTAAGCGTCTTCGTAATGGGATATTTTGAAACATATTTTGTTAGGTGAAGACTGGGAGAGCTTTCCCAGAGAGATGTATGCATATATGGATAGCCAGTCATCTTCAAGGCGTGCTGACACACATTCATTGTCACTAGCCAAATCTGTCTGTAAAACATCAGCTGATCTCCTGTGCTTTAGAATGGAACTTCTGAAATGTCATTTTATTTCAATTTAATTCTAGGTTGCATGAAATCCCTAGCAATTTGGTCTCTGGATTTCATTAACCAAAAATTCATTCTTCCTGAAATAGACATTGTGTGCCTGCGTTTAGTTTTACCTGCATAGGTGATGTCCTGTGTAGGGTGTGTCAATGTCAGTTCTTCCCATTTCTTGAGCACAACTAAAATACTATGTTATGAAAATGATCATGCCAGAATTCAATTAGAGGAAGGAAACTTTTTATCCAACTGCAACCTCCTGTGAAATTCCAGGAATTAAGTGTGATTTTTCAAATTGGAATTCAATCATTAAGTCTACCTAATTGCTGCCTAGGTGACACGGGATTTTTAGTAACTATAGGTGTTCAGAACCTCATTATAAATGCAATGTGAATATTGCCAGTGAGTAACACAATACCTCTGGGATGATGTGAGAAAGGTTGATCTGTGATTCAGAGCCACAGTTTTCAGCTACTAGTGAAGTTTTACTCCTAAATTGAATATTCCAGGTCCTCATTCATTTTTGCAGGTTCCCATTGTTTCCCATGTGACCATGGCAGAGGTAACTCTGCAAACTCGATTCTGAACGTTATTTGTGAATAAGAATTTTTCATGAGACCAGAACTGTTCACGAGACCAGTAATATATTTTGCCACAAATAAGAAAGGGGAGAGAGCTCCTTCAGTAACTTGATAAAGACAATAAATTCAAGGGTTCAGTTACTCATCCCACAATGACAGTCTTTAGCTGTGCTATGGGAACTTGCTGTGTTTTGCTACATATGTGAGGTGACTTCTCAAGAGGGCCTTGCTTTCCACCTTGCAGGCATCCTGTGCTCCTGTGCTAAGCCTCTCTGTGCATGTCTAACAGTAACAAAGGCTTAGCTTCGTAGTACCCAAATGCCCTGGGTCAAGTAAATCAGGTGAAGTCATTTGATCTATAATTCTGTTTGCTTATCCATTTGGCAGAAAAAGCAGAACTTACAAGCATACAAAGATCTCCTAGTTTGGGGTGTTTTTTTTGTTCATATACCATTCTACATTTACATCATTTCTTACTTTTAAATAAAATGCAAAACAGCTTTTAGAAATAGATCCAAGTCAATTGTGACTGTACAGTGGACTTCTCTTCAGACTCTTGACTCTGCCCATCCCTATTTCTGCTCATTATATTACCTTTGCCTGAAAGTGTTTTACCAGTGAGTATTTTGGCATGACTAAATGCTTCTCTTACCCTTCCAGAGTCTTCCAGAGTTATGTGAAGGTATCAGATGTTGGCCCTGGATTGTGGAAAGGCTTAACTCTGTCGAAATCTGTTAGTATTTGTGAGGTTGAATGCAGTGCTTATATTTCATGAAAATTCCCATTCATTACAAGCACTAAATTCCACTTATAAAAAGAAGATTTCTTTTTGAGACTCTGTTTTTAGTTTGGACTGCAACATTAAAGATTTATGAAGCTGAAGGAAGCGATGGCAGTGGAAACATGACTTTTGTCTCACCAGCTCTGTAGACACCTGATGCTGGTAACAACAGAGATCAGTGCTCTTCAGCCTGAAGGCTATTTGTGGGGTTTATCAATGGCCTGAGTTTTCTCCCGGGAGGTAACAGCACGTGATGGTTTGTCTGATGCAGGGTCCTGTTGTACTGCCTCCTTCCTGCACTGTGCTTGTGATTTACTCTCACGTATCTTTTTCTGCTGAGCAATGTCCTCAAGTAGTAGATTGAACTATTGTTGTGTTGACTACTATGAACCCTGAGCTGTGCCCTTCCTTCCCACAGGGAGGATAGTGCTGTGTATCTGTCAGGCCTGGGAACTGTGGGACTGGAGGTGTACGAGCAGGTGCCAAAGCTGGATGCGGTGATTTTCCCTGCAGGAGGCCACTGTGGCTTGCTGGCAGGGTCGGCTGCTGCACTCAAACACCTCAACCCACATATTTCTGTAATTGTAAGTTTCCTTTAACCTACAAAGCATTGCATTTTAATAGCTTTGCCACAACTATTTTCAAAATACACTGATATCTAGTGATAGCAATACACTGGTATCTACTGCCACACTGGCAGAGGTTGCATGTGCTGGGGACAGGGACTATCTGATCCTATGGGCTTCACCTAGGAGAAGAGACTCTGAGAGCCTGGGAAGCCTCTTGTCCTTTGGCTGCTTCGCTGGATTTAAGAAACAATGTGGGAAAGACTCTTCCAAAGCAAATGAAATCCAATTCTGTGTCTTGAAATAATTTCTTACTGGAGAAATTTGGCCCTAAATAAAACACAGGATAAGCTTAATGATAGTACAGTTATTATGCAATTTGAAATTTATTATTAATTTGAAAAGGAAGCTTTGTGCAGCTTTTTTGGTATCCACTTTGGTGGTGATTTCTGTTATAACTGGATCAATAAAAAGTTAAAACACTTGTCTTCCCCAGGGCGTTGAATCTGAAAGTTTCCCTGTATTGCAACAGTCCCTAAAAGCTGGCCATCCAATTGAAGACCAGGCTTGCAGCAATCATCACTTTTATGGAGGTAAGAAAATGCATTCTTTTGGGGGGAAAACAAAGTTTGTAATTGATTTCTCCAACCATATTATTTTTCTCAATAATTCAGTTCAAACTTATTTTAAAGGAAATCTTTGAAGAGTTAGAATTTAATTCAAGCTGTAGAGGCAACTTCTACCACATTTCTCCCCCACCTCCCTGGGGTACAATACCATTTACAGTGCACGTGAAATGTACATATGAATGCTTAGAAATATTAAGAGTATTTATCTGACCATTGTGCTTACAGACATCACCTTAACCAGTGAAGTCAATGGGAAAGCTCTTATGTAAAAGACTGATTTGTAAGAAGGCAGAAAAATCCTGTGCTTAAATATTTAGACTTAGAAAACTGTTCTCTGAACAACAATGTTTATAAACATAGAGTTGTTTCCATATAATTTGTTCAAAACCCCTCAACTGTTAAGCAATCTAAAAATATTCTGTTTACCTGATGTCCAACTCTCTGGAAGCTCTGGGTTAAATAGGAGTTTTGTAAACAACTCTCTTGATAAGCTCTACCTGTCTCTGCACTCCTTTGCTAACTGTCCTGCTATAGGTAACAAACCTGGTGCCATGCTTGGTTCTTCTCTCCTTCAAGCAGCGAAAGGTGCTGGCTGCAAGGCCACTCTTGCAGTGCAATGATGCTAGTGAAGAATCAAAACTTTCTTAAAGGGGTCCAAAATGCCAAAGTCTTCCTGTGAGATTTGGTCTTTCATTACCAAAAGTGTATCTGTCACATAAAAAAGTCAAGCAACTTACATATGACAGCAGTGTGCTGCACTTGTTAAGGAGACAAAAAAAGCCAGAGATCTGAAAGATGTTGAACTTGTCTAAAGCAGCCAGCTTCATATTTTTGCCTTTTGAAATTTGCAGATGTGAGTGGACTTTGCTTTGGCAGCAATTCTTTGCAGCTGACTGGGAAACTTGTGGATAAAGTTGTTGCTGTGAGGTGGGTAAACAAAATCAGTGAAATTAATAATACTGGGTGAGCATTAATATGTGTGAAAAATGTGCTGTACCACCACGGTATGGTGGTTCTTCACATACAGTGGAGAGCAGGAGTTGCCATCATGCGCATGCTGTGACAGCATGGTGGTGGTAGGGTGCCTTTCCTTCCAAGAGGGGCACAGAAGACACTGAACCCAATCCCACATATCATAGAATCATAGATTATCTCAAGTTGGGAGAGACCCATAAAGGACCATTGAATCCAGCTCCCTGCTCCTCACAGGAGTACCTAATACTAAGTCTTGTGACTAAAAACATCATTCAAACTGACCCCTTTGGCCAAAACTTCCCCTGCTGCTAATACCTGGTCATGCATCTGGGTGTAAAATTTGTCCTGGTTGTATTCTACAACACTTGAAGGCAGCCTTTGACAAAACGCTTCTAAATCTTCACAGAAAGGCCAAGTTGGCAGAATATACTTACCACTAGGATTTAGCTAGCGCAATGTTTCTAGTTAAAATGCCACCCTGTCTTTCAGTTAATATCAAGACTGAGATAAACATTCATCCTGGCAGCACAGCTTTTGGTAACACTACTTTGGGGTCATATGTACCTGGGAGGGTGAAAGGAATCCAGTTATACATAAATGTATTGTCTTCTGCTATTGGTATCTCATTTTGTTTTGACACAAGTCTTTTGCTTTCAGGGAGGAGGACATCCTCATTTCTATGCTGAGACTGCTGGAGTATGAGCGAGCCACAGTTGATGCAGAAGGGGCCATTGGCCTTGCAGCAGTGGTTGCAGGGAAGCTGCCAGAGTTGAAGGGTAAAAGGTATGGCAGCTGTTGCAAACAAGGAACTGTGGCAAAAGCATATGAACATGTGGCAAAACAGGGAACACGTAGCAAAGCAGGGAACTGTGGCACTCAAGGACTTGAGTGCCTTGGTCCCAGGAAACGGAGAGATGCTGCTTGTTTTATGAGTGATGAGGCAGTTTGTGCCCATGAACTGGCAACGGTCTTATGTATCTGTGACACCTACTTCAGGCTGAAAAGACCACTCACAGGTCAGAAGACCATGTTGAACAAGACTAATGTCAGCATGGAGACCTGACAAATCATGTAATTTTCCTGTATTCTCTAATGGCTGGGGAAAGGCAGTTGCACACAGCTCTATGAGGCATGGTCACATCTGCCAGGAGAGCATCCTGATCCTGTCAGACTGTTGGCCTCTCTCATTCCATGTGTGGAAATTAGCCCTGTCTGTGGTGAGACAAGAGGTAAGCTGTTTTCTGCAGTTGCTCAGTGGCAGCTGCCTCATGACCCCGAGAACTCCTGCTCAGATGGTCAATGTGATTACACTTGTGCTTAGTGTTAAAAGTGTGGGTAAGTGCTTTCTTGTATCTGGGCTTGAGTACTTGGTACTTAAGCAGATTGAGTCTTGGCTCAGGAGATAGTCCAGAATGTATGCCTTGAACACACATGTTGTCTAACCACCAACAGGGTGAGACTTGGAACCTCCAGGGAAAATGATGTCATGTTTTTAAAATTTGACACAGAGCTAGAATTTTCCAGCTGATTATCTCTAATCAAACCAAAACCTCCAGGAAATGCAAAATGAAAACAAAATTTCAGGCCAACTAATGCAGCCAGGCTCCCACTGCCTGCACACAGTTGATACTGAGAACCAGGAGCCCCACTGATATTTAATACATATTTATTGAAGGGTGGTCTAGCCGATCCTAATCTGATATTGAATACAGTGTCTGTGATTTATGGTTCTTTTGCACAGACAAGTGCTAATCAAAAATCCTGTTTTTCTCTCTGTTTCCAGAGTGGCAGTTGTCATATGCAGTGGAAACTTGGAATTACATTTGCTGCAGCAGTGCATAGCTCGTGCCCTGACCCTTGATAACAGAGTGTGCAGATTTTCCCTTGTGCTTTCTGACTGCCCAGGAGACATTTCAAAGCTACTAGAGGTTTTGGCTCGGGAAGAAGTAAGGTAAATCAGACTTAGAGTAGGGAAATATAATCACAGAGCAGCACAAAAATTATTAAAGATTTGGGCATGTTTCCAAATGTTCTCTGAAGTCAAGTCTGTAAGTAACTAATTAATCAAATGTTTTTTTTCTTGTTATATTAAAAAAAAAACTTTTAGTTTTTTATTTCCCTCATTTTTCTTGGAATGTGAAAGCACCTTTGCAGCATAAAGTAAGTGTCAAATATAAAAAGCAGCAAAGATAGTTACTGTCAAGACACTTACAGAAACTGTTTTACAATGACAAAGGCTTGTTGTGATCTCTGATTTATCCCTGTTTGATCTAGAGTTTTGGATATCAAACAAGAACGCACATTTGTGACATCTGAGCTCTTCACTGTTGAGGTAAGATGCGATGCAATTTCAGTTTCTCCAGCAGCATTGGCCCTCCCTAGTTTATTCTGTTTTCCAGTATCTCTATATGACTATATTGAAGAAGTCCAATATAGTGTGTACAATGATCTGGGGAGCCGTGTGATAATTCCTTCTGTGTTATACAGCATCTTGCCTCACCAAATGCTTGGCAGGCATATAAATAATAGAGGACCTGTTTTACCTGATATTGCAACACCGTGAGTGAAATACTCTGGCTGTTGCTATTGCAAACCTTCCTTACCTGCGTGGTGGTGTGTTGGAGGTGGTGAACAAGCTGCGTCATCCGTCCTGAACTTGAAGATCCGGCTTTGTAGGTTGGCTGTAATTATCTGGGATCAATTTGCCTTAAAGCAATATGGAGAACACCCTTACTCTTAAGGATTCCTTATTTTTAAGTAGGGCCTCAGTTTTGTACCTTATCTACAAAGAGCACAGAGCAAAATTCTTATTCCTTTTTTGAGTATTTGATACCGTAACAGTGAGGAGGTGCTATCAGTTAATGGCATCTCTTAAAAGGATCATTTGTCTCATGGCATATTCCTTAATTCAACTGGTTTGGCAAAGGTGTGGTTCCACTGGCTTGATGCTAGTGCTGTCAGAGTCTAACCTGACTTTGTGAAATCACAGGTGGAAGTCAAATTAGGGATCTTTGCTAAACAGTCTTATAGCTGGAATTCAGGAGTGTTGTTGAGTAAGCAAGTTCTTCGATTTTGGCATTTAAATCTAATTCCCCACTTGGATGCAAAACCCCACTCGGTATTTTCACTTGCAGATATAAGGAGTAGGTTAGATTAGAGATGACAGTAGCAAAGGACTACAATGTAGTTTATGAACTTTTTTCAGAACGTGGTATTATCTTTTTTCTCAAGTGTGTAGGACTAAAACTACATTGTTCTGCAGTGTCATAACAATAGGTCAGCTTACTGGTTTGGGTAACTTGAAGACAACGTGACAAATCCCTTTGATTCAGTGACTTACCACTGAAAAACCCTTCTACCAAGGCTAGATTCAACAAACTGTGTAACTCTTCTAAAGTTTTCAATATGATTTTTAAAAAGTAGGGCTTGTAATTTTTATTAATCCTACTAAATAAATTAAACAAAATCCACTTTCTTAGTTTTTGATTGAGAATGTTAGACCAATTTTCCATTGTTCTTGGGACTTCTTTTATCTATAGTCCTTGAATCGGAAAGTACCATGTGCTATTGTCTGCCCTTTAAACAATGTATTTTCACTGACTGTCCACTTCAAGGACCCGGCACTGTTGTACTAAAAGAGGGTTGAAGGGAGGAATTTGAGTCCCTGAATAATTTAATTGGATGTTGGATTTGCATGATGGCTTTTAATCAATCTGGGAGAGGCTACTGGATAATTAGATGTGAAGTAGTGATTCAACTTTATAGACTTCAGTGACTTTGGAGGCACCTCTATCTGGTGACACCTAATGAATCATAAAGCTTTTCTTTGGAAACTAAACCAAAGGTAATCAAAAAAGTAAAATATTGGATTTATCTTTAAGCATGAAAATAAATTTGCTCTAACCAGATACAGAAAAATGTGCAAATTTTCATAGTAAAGCTAACACAAATGGGGAAGGTTTTGCTTTTATTTTTGTTGTTTGTAAAGGACCAAGCCCTTTGTTAGCAAAGCATTTCAAGCATTTGTTGCTAAAGCAGGCCTGCAAAGAAATTTGTATCATTTCCATCAGTGTAAATCACAGCATATTAAATTTAGCATGCATTTAAATCTGGATCGAGAACTAGAATTATCATGTGTTGAACTGATGGTAATAATAAGAAAGGCATTACAGCTATACACACTCCACTGTAATACATAGTTTTGACTGTGGATATAGATGATGTGTTTGACAGAACAGAGCAGTAAGTGCAGTGGCTTATTTTAAACACTAAACGAGTCCTGTCAAGATTGTCTTCTCAGTATTTAATCATCCTTTCAGATTTACCCCTTCCTTTCCAAATGAGAGAAACTTGGCTTCTAGTCACTGCTTATCACAAAGATAGAGCAAATGTTTTTTCTTCCCCTCCAGTGAAATGTCCTTCTGGTTTAGTGTTTATTCATCTGGCACACACTTCATGGGAAGATCCTTGCTGATAGTCTGAATTCACAGAGTAGTAAGGACTTACTAAATTGAAGCTCTACGTTCAAAATACACTTTTGGAAAAAATAACTTTTGGAACATTTTACTGACAAAAAAAAATAAGAGATTTTTAAAATAAAAAGCATATTACGGTGACATTAGATTCAGCTGATTCTTAATGAAGCACCTTGTGCAGTGGGATTGGCTGGTCAAGTACTTTTGGAACAATATAGGAATTTCTTTTGGATACTGTCAGCTCACACCTACAGTTTAGATTCTCGTTCCTTGTGGCTCAGATTTCTGTCTTGCAGAGGACTACACCTTAATTCACTCTTACCTGAGCAGTGAGGAGATGGATTCTGAAGTCCCAGTATTGAAATAGATAACTCTTAGCAAATTATAAACCAGTCTGGTAGGCTTCACCTTTTACAACTATTGAAGCAGGATAGGTGATCAGGAATACAGGTAGAAATAAGGATCAGAGCTAAGGGAAAAAATATCTGATATTACTGGCTAACTGGGTATAGAAATCTGGTAATATTACCCAGTTAGTGGGAGGAAACTACAACTTGCTTTTGTGAGCTTTCCCTGTTCTTTATCAGTATCAGGGTGTCTTGTATTTGGACTTAGGCTAAAAAGAGGAATTAACTTTGAGCTCATCAAGTATCCAGAAAAGACTTCTCACCACCACTGCAACTGCAGCATAGTCAGACTGGCAGGTACAGGAGGGTACTGGAATAGAGCAGTGACGGCCTGCAAGGTCTTGATGTGCTCCAGAAGCTTTGCAGAGAAGCAGCTGCAGTGGCTGTGTTCTCTCTGACCTCAGTCCTTTTTGACATTATGGGTTTGTCTGGTTTGCTCACATCAAACCTCTCGGGAGCTTAAATCTGCTGTGGCTTTAAATAACACAGAAGAGACCAGTTGTAAAAAGAACATCCATCATATTACTTCTCCCTCTGACTGTGCAACAAAATACTAATTCATAAATCAAATACTGCTTTTTCTTTATGATAACATAAGACATTGTCCCAGTGGTGCTGCATTTCCTGGCTCACTTTGTGTGGTGTAATACCTTTTTTTTCATAACAGTTTATTCACCTCAAGCCAGAACCCATTAAATTATTTTAGTCTGCTCTGGTCAATTTGAGTAAATTCCTTTGGATCAATGTGCATTTTGTAAAAGGCTGGAGGAGAATATTTTGGATTAGAGTTTCCAGTTGCCAACATATTCTGCCTTATTGACCTGGGAAGAGAATATAGAGGAGCATGCAGCTGTCCAGCTACAGAAAGGATGGTGTCATTCCTAAAGCATTTCCTGCATGACCCTGGGCAAGGCATTGTTAACTGTGCTTCAGCTCCCCATCTGCAAAATGAAGACACTTGGAGTGGGAAGTCCAACAATACATTCCTTCTCAGTCATTTTCTTCATTGGCATTCCACAGCAGACTAAGGTGGTACAGAACAGTTTGCCCCAGTTAAAGAAATAAGAACCTGACTCCAGGAAGGCTGAAAGTAGACCTGTTGGATCATTATCTGATTTACATAATGCAACAATAAGTTGCTTGTGCTCACCAACCTGAATGCAAGAATATGCCAAAGGATAAGGGCTCAGGGTGCACGAACAAGTGACAGCTATGGCAGTTGTTAAGCTCTTTCTCAAGCATTGCATTGCACCAATCTTGGGGACTATCTGGCTTTTACCTTGAAGTAAAATAACATGGCTGGTTATTTTAATGGTCTTACAGGACCAGATTATTTTATTTTATCCATCAAGGATACTATATGCAGGAGAGAAATGCATAAAATGTACTCATTATTTGGTGGTGGTGGGGTTTTGTGGGTTCTTTGATACACCCAAAAGCAAGGTCTACTATGCAAACCTGGTCCTGCAGTGAATGAGAGCTCTGCTGGGCAAAAAAAAACTGTGTCTAGTCCTGAGGGCTTATGGGTTTGAAACAAATTTCAAGTTTTCTCTAGTTGTCACTGGTTATCTTGCATGGAGTGTAAAAGGCATCAGGCAATAGGTTTTGTTATTCGTTCTTAGATAAGACCAATTTAGAGCATTTACTCTTAACTCATCAGCAGGTATGCAACATCCTTTAGCAATTAGTACCTAGGTGACTATTCATCCTAGATAGATAAAATCTTCATCTATCTCGCCATGAATATGAGGATTGCCCTGTTGGACACTCATGTAAATGATACTTCCCTGGTGAGGTGAGTAAGAGAGAGTTCTGTGAAAGTAAAACTACAGTGTGAATTGGCTTAATCTGAGCAAGAAAGCAAATTCTTGCCTGCCTTGCTGTTTAAATCTGTAGCTGCTCTCAAGTGTAGTGTGATTCTCTGTTCACTCCTGCTGTGAGGAAATGTTCTCTCTTCCTCTGCTTGACAGGTGTGAAATATCAGGTGAATTTCTGGAATTGTTTATTATTGCTGCTGTGATGCTGTTACTACTTTTATAATGCACTACAGCCTATTAATGGCCATATCAGGTGGTGTATGATGTGCATGCACAGAAAAAAAAGACAGGATTTATCCAAACAGTTTACAAGCTCTTTGGCTTCAATCATTAGCACAAAGAAAAGGGCAGAGAGGAGGATAGTTAGCTCTATAAATCAAAATCAGGCTTGCTCCCAGGGCAGAACAGCTGCTTGCTGCCAGACGTTCAAAGGTGGACCTGGCAAATCCAGACTGGAGCAATTGATTTGCTCAGGACAAAATAGGCATGATTGCTGTGGAAGGGGAAAAAGGCGGCTTTTTGTAATTGCAGACTAAATCCCACTTCAGAAGAGAAAAAGTGGGATGTAATCTCAAGAGAATTAATGTTGCAAAGAGCCAAACAAGAATGGAATGATGTTCAAGATGAGAGGCATAGAATTACAGAAACAGATCAGAAATGTGTCTCATTTAATGAAGCATATTTAAGAAGCTATAGCCAGTTTTCTAATCAAGTAAGCTCACGGCTGTTTAGAATAAGGTGGAGTTAATCTTTCACCTTCTCATTCAACAGTTTTGCTAAAGGTTTATTGTTATTTTAAGCTCATTCAGAAACATGAATTCACAATATTCCTATTTAGAAATATTCTCATAAGCATATTTGAATAGAGACAGTTTTATTTTTTGCCTTTTTGCTGTCTGTAAAGGATGCAGCTCTGATAAGAACATTATACAGGGCATCTGTCTGCAGCAGTCCACCTTAAGGTTACCATGGCCAGGTTTTTTTCTTTATTCTCTATAGATTTGCCTGTTACAATAAACTCTGTTGTTGCACTGTGACTCATCTTGGATCCTTTCCTCACTAGATTCCCATGTTTCTGTGAGCTATTTTTTCCACGTGGCACTTTGAACATCAGTGATAATTCCAGCGGGGTCAGCTGTGATGGAAGTTAATAGTCTAAAATTGTGAGGTGTAATTTTCCTTCTGCACCTTCACATTGGTACCTCACCTTTGGTAGTGCCCAGATTTTCAAATGGTGCAATAGAGATGTGAGTGTGTAGAAAAGAGGGAATAAAGAAGAACTGAAAAAAATTACCTTGACGTTACTGTCTTTAGTGTCTGCCCGTCAGGATTGTCAACAATACTTGCAGAGGTGAGTGAAGAGTAAAAAGATAAGTATCAGGGTTAGGTTTGTCTGGGTTTGATTTAGCATCAGAACAACCATAACAGAAAAACAGAAGTGATGCAATGGGCAAACAAAAAAATCAGAATAAAAAAAAGGTGTGTGAGTGGGTGAAACCAGCCAGAATACTGCAGAGACAATGAAGGACTGGGGGGGATCAGTCCCTGAGAGAGAAGAGGAGAATATAAAGAGGTTGAAGGATGAAGGCACTGGAAAAAACAGTGCCCAGAAATATGGAAATGTGATGAGGTGGCAGCAGCACCATCTACATACCTCAGGGAACGGAAATAAGAAGCTACTAACAGATGACTTCAGGGAAGCCAACAGCAGACAAGTATTTTGCCCAGGAGCCAGCAGAGGATCACCCTATTTCCTTTAAACCTATTGAAGGCAATAAAGCAGGGCTGTTGGAAGCTTTTCGGACCATACAGGACAGCTGGAAAAGCCCCATATGTCTGTTTTCTTACCTGAGTAGACAGAGGATGCAAGGTCCAGAGTTTTTACGTTGCACTGATCATTTTGCTTTTATGAGCTGGAAATGCCTGTGTCCGAGGTTGCTGCCATGCCATCAGGAATGCTCTTAATTCTTTTCCCAGGTCACCTGCACTGTGGAGACCAGAGACAAGATCCACACAGCCCAGCTGAGGAACGCACTCTTGGAACGCTACCCCACAGCTGTCTGGACCGAGCGGTGATGAGCACAGCACAAGGGAAAGGGATGAGATCCTACGACAAGTATTTTATAGAGCCCTAATCTTGAGGCATTCAGAAGAGATACTCGCTTTCAAAGCTGAACAGTTAGCAAATAGTTTCAGGATATTTATTTTCTGCTCAAAACATAGTGAATGTCCTTGGGAAAAAAGTCAAACTCCAAACTTTAGCTTAGCTAAGGGAAACTTCTAGTCTCTGCTGGTGTTGGAATTCAGTAATTCATTATCAGCTGGCTGGCTGAATTTTGGCTAGTATGTAGGATCCTATGGCATTCAATACATAAACTGGGAGAAGACATTTTTCTTTACATCTAATATAGACCTCTCAAAGGTCTTTTGATTTTGATGCCTCTAGTTAAAGTAATGCAGCTCCTTCTTCTGGACTTCGCCATACCGATAGTACAGTAATTTTCCATTTCCAAGCCAGAAGCAGTTCCCCATTTGCTGAATGTGCTTCAGGGAATATATTCAAGTGTGCGGTATGGGTTTGAACACACTTCTGATTCTTGTTCTGGTCTTTGCTATCATGCAAGGAAAAATGATGCTAACCAAATATAATTTAAACAAAACCAAAAAAAAACCTTGGAAGACAAAAGCCAAGATTTTTTTTTTTTTTTGATGATCCTATTTATAAAGTTCCAAAAGATGTTTCAGCAATTAAAAAAAACCCAACATTACAAATATAATTAGACCTCATATGCAGAACACAAATATAATTCTTCTCTCTGCTTTTGGTTACTCAGTATAAGAAGTAGCATATAAAATGGCTTGTGTTTCTTTATGAAAAGGGGTCTCTCCACCCATGTGAATTTTGTAATCAGCATTCCACTGATCATCTTACTCTGCCTAAAACAGACTCTATCCATTTCACCTGACAGATTAAGTACACCATTAAAAGTGAAATATATTTGTAGGCCACATGTTAATAGCCCAAGGCAGTGCTAGGTGAAGAGGAAGCCTAAGTCTCAGCCACATGGCTAATGCAATTAACAAAGAACACATTGACCTAAATACACATCACTACAGACAACTAATATGGTAACAAAGTGGGATGGCAAGAAACGTAAGAGAAATTCAGGCCCACTTCTGAGTGTGTGTACAACAGTGACCTTTCCACTTGGGCAAAATTCAATTTAAGGCCAGGTGCAACAGAGCTGACATATGCTACTCCTCTTGGTTAAATGTAACCATGATTGACCCAAATTTGAGGTGAAGGTATTTTAATAAGAGGTCTTAATCCTGTCTCTAGCATATCAAGTTGATAATTAAATAAATATGATGTATTTAGCAGTGCCCTAGCAGAGCCCAGATGAAAATCCAGCAAGAGGAGATGCCGTGGGGTGGGCAAAAGTTTTTTCTGCCCTCTTTTAACTCTAGTGCATCTGTAGGCTGGGAAGGGCATCATCTGGAGAGTTCGAGCAGCCTAAACAGAGGGTCCCTATGGACTAAAAAGAACAAACTGCATATCCAATCTTGTGCAGATGTCATCTGTGTTGTATCTACTACCTATGGACATCCAGCTGTATCTGTAACTTCACTTGTGCCTGCAAGATGGGATGAAGAGGGCAGCATTCTGACTACCTGTACAGTATTTTTTTCTTTCCTGGGAAATAGTCTGTTCATTCCCTCTTGTAGTGGCTCATGAAGGAGTAGGAATACAGAAGAGACTAACTATCACAAACTGTGGACAAATAACAGAAGTTCATTGATTTGGTCTACTTTTGAAAGAACCATGTTGTTTTGCATATGGAACTAAAAATTGTTCATGACAGATCAGCTAGTTTCTTTCCCTTCTTGCCATCCAGAATGGGGTGTATAGGGCTTGGGCTCCAGAACATGTTCTGTAAATCACAGCCTGTCAGACACTACTCCTTTCTTCATTGTCAGAAGAGTTTAAGATATCTATATAGAAATATGTGATGTCAGAGTACATATTGCCTATGTGCTACTTCAATTGAAACTTGCAATGAAACCCATCATCAAAGAGCAGATTTCGGGGTGTAAAAACCATTATATGTAAGGATCTAATTATCCTCTTATCTCTTTTGGCAAAACTCTCATGAAATTTTGAGGATGTCTCAGGTATCTACATAAGAAGAGAATGGGACTTTTAAACTAATGTTCTCAGTAGTGACCAACAGCTTCTGCTGTCTGAGTCCTTGGTTTATCGCCCTGCATTATCCTGGACTTTATCTTTTTTAGAAGCTCAGAGCATTAACGACTTCTTTTCTAATCAGTGGGAACTACATTTAGCAAGTCCTTACCAGGCTGGGGCAGGGGAGGCAGCAGACAGAGCAACCAAAAAGCAATGCATTCAGAATCATTTGAGGATTTTGAAGATGTGTTTTTTTTTTTGGGGGGGGAAGGAAAACGAGAAAGGAAAAAGCAAAAAAAAAAAAAGGAAAGTGATGTCTAGAAGGTACTTAAAATGTCAGTCATGATATATGTAGTTTGATTTTATTTTCATTGCATTATGTATAAAGTGTAAATCACTCTTCAGTGGTAAACACTTCACGTGTGACTATAATAATACCAGAGTTGATTTCCATTCTGTATTGATTTTGTGCAAGCCTATTGGCCTAAAAATCTAAGCTAAAATACTTCCAAGGGGAAAAAAACCTGAAAATGAAACATTTAAATGAATGTATGCAATAGCAAAGAATACTGAAATACCTGTGCTGCTGACCTTTTCGTGTTATGAACTGTAATGGGACTATAGCATTTCAAAGATCTAATAATGTTTTAAAATGTTTCATTGAAAGAAGTACTTTTATAAAGAGTATTCTTATGTACCTTGAATAAAAATAATGATTACGTAAGAATTTCACAAACTGTTAAATCGGCAAAATGCAGATGTAAGCAAATGTATTTGTTTGAAAAATAATTAAAAGGATGCTATACCACCTCAGCAATGAAATATTTGTCATTCTTTCATACAGGACTAATAGAAGCCTTGCATTGAGACTTCAGAGTTAATTTGTTTTCCATTGACATTGACACAAAATCCACATCATTAACACAGGGGGAGCTCTGGGCTGCCAGGGAGGTGAGCACAGCTGGGCAGGACTGCTGCTCTTGCCCTGTGGAGTGGGATGAGAGACTGCCAGGCTGGGTGAGCATCTCTTCTTGAGAGATGCTTCTGTTTCACATGCTGGGCCAGGTGTAAACACTGCCTTGCTTGTACCTGGTTGCTTTCCTGGGCAATGTGTTGAGGCTGTGTGCAGAACTGTCCTGGGCTGGGCTTCTGCAGGTGAATGAAGTCCATGATACCTGGTGAACCGGATCAGGGTGCAGCAGACCGCCTGCTAAAATGTATGTGGATGTTTTGACCTGGGTATTTCCACTAGAGCTAAGCTACTGAGCTTTGGGAGCAGCCCCATGGATACAAGTTTGTCAGGGACACAGAACAACTTCTTCCAAGAACTGACACAAAGAAAGTGTATCTTTAATTGAAATAAAATCTCTTGCTGCATTGATTTCTTAATTTCTTCAGTCAGGTCCTGTTAGCTCTGCATTAACATCTAAAGCTCTGCCAGTACATGTTTACACGGTATCAGAAGTTCATCTCCCCGTGTAGGTGGCAAGTCCTCACAAGTAGCACCTTGCCATCTAGCCTAATACTTGTGGAAGATTCAGAAATCCTCCTTCCCATCCCAAAACGCAGTAAGTGCTTTTCACACACTACATTGAACTTTTGGTAGATCCAGGCCTGGACATGTGGTTTAGTGGTTGGAAAAGGCAACTGCAAGACTCTGGGGTTGGGCTGTAATTCCTGCCAGTCATTTATTTGATGGCCTTAGTTCTCCTGTCACCTTCTTGGTTCTCCTGTTGCCTTCTTCCCTGTTTGTTTAACTGTAAGCAGTCTACCATGTACAGGATATTGAAGTTGGCAGAATTTCTTTCTATTAGAAACCTTTGCTTTCATGTGCCCCAACTTTTTCCTTCATCTCAATGGAGGGAGAATTCTGGATGTCACACCCTGCAGAGCTGCTATATTTCCCACTGTAAAAAAAGCACTTTATTTATATTAAATGAAATTACAGCAAAAAATGGTGGCTGTGGTTGGAAAGCATTCGAATGAAATGAGTGTTTTGAAGTACTTCAGTAGTGAACATATATAACAAGAGGGTCCTTAAGCCTATGCAGCTCATCTCTCTGAAGAAAGGAAGAGTCCTTAATGGACAGAGCCAGATCAACCACACCTGAGTGTATTCACACAAATGATATGAGGGGCTTGCCCTGCCTTTAGAGGGGAAGGCCATGTTGGTGAGGGGGTTTAGTTGTGCTGTTGATGTTGTTTGTAAAGCTCTTCTAAATGCAGGTATTCTTATTTACTTTTAAATCTTTTATGCTTCTGGAATTTGTGGAGGAGGATGGTGTTTGTGTCTAATTCTGTTTGCTTGGTTGTTTTGTTTTTGGTTTTCTTTAGTAAGAAGTGAAGTGGCTTTAGAAGGGCATTTTAACTTGTGTGGTTTCTGAACTTGGGAAATTGGAGTCCCTGTCTGTTCCCTCAAGGGGCATGTAAGAGGTTTTATTTTGAGAGAACAGCCTGGAAAAAAAGGGGCCAAAAAATACAGTGGTGCTCCTTATACCTCTCTTTCCTTCTCCTTCCTAGTGATGCATGTGCTGTAGTTATATATGGAATTGCAGGGGCCTGTAAGGTCTTGTACAGTGTGTGGGCTGTGCCGTATTATTGCTTCTCCTCTGAAAAGTGTTAGTAAAGGAAATGTCGAGGGGGTTTTGTGTTTGTTTCTTTTGCTTTCAACAACCCATGACAATCTCTTGAGCTGTTCATGCAGGCCTTGCAGACAGGCATCAGCCTGAATAAACACATTGCTGGCAAGACAAACTGATAGGTTGTTAGCCACAAGCCAGAAGTTTTAAGTCCTTACTAGGCTAAGTCCAAAGGCAGGACCAGTTGATTCTTCTTGTGTTTAGAAAAATCTAGGTCAGCATGAAAGAGAGGCAAAGCAAGACATTGTGATTCTGAGAGAGGTTTTTCACTGCACCCTTGCAAAAAATGAGCTACAGCCCTTTAAGGCTTTAGAAATGGTGCTTGGAAACAGACGGGAGACATCTCATTGTCTCTGTTCAGACTGAGCAAAGCTTCGGAGCTTTTGCTTTGTTTCCTGACCCAGGTTCTCATCAGCAGAGCTTGGTTTAAGCGGTGATTTGTCAAACGTGCTCATCTGGATTCCTCACTGTGCTTAAGAAGTACATTACACTCATTTCTATATATTCCCATTTATTATGATTTAAAGGTGAAAACGGATCTGTGAAGGATTTTTTTTGTATTTTCTCCTGCAACAAAGGTACCAAGCAATCAGCATAAAAACACTGTTGTAAGAGGTGTGGTTATTTGTGACTTGTATGAAATTCTGTCTTTTGATCACCAATGCAGGTCAAATAATGACTTGTTTTTGCCTAGACAAAACAGGCACTGTTGTTTTAAATTGTCTTGGCATCTACTTTTTAGCATAAAGCATATTCAGCTTTGCACTCTGGCTTTCACAGCAAGTTGTTTTTTTTTCTTGTTTTCAATTAGGAATGGATAGCTAACCAGGATTTCTCTTTACTACTGTCCACACCCTAGTTAGCAGAAAAACCTTTCTGAAAGTCAGCTTAGCTTTCTTTGTGATTTGCCACCTTATTTAGTGTTCTTTAATAGTGAAAGCCCTTTCTGTAAGACTCACTGGTTTTCCTTTTGGTGGGAAGCAGTATTTTGAAACATTTTTTTTACAGAGAACTACTAACATTTGCAAGTGTTTTCTTTTGGCAGGCTGGGAGGGTTGGGTGGGATGTGGAAGATGATTTGACACTTTGCCTTTGAGCCGCTGTGAGAATGTAAGTGTATGCTTCTGTTGCTCTCCCCTTTTGTTGTGGAAAGAGGATTTTTACTGCAGTGGAAAGAATTGCTCTATGTGATGAAGAGTAATCCCTTATTGTTGCTATTAGGGTAGCCTGGAGAAACGGTTGTCTGGTGTAACCAGTGCTGTTTCTGAAGAGCCTGCTGCTAGCTGTAAATGAATGTATGTTTCTATGAGCTTAGTGAGTTGCAGACCTGGATTCAGGTTCCTTTTGCTTCTGCTGGTTCCTTTTTTAACTAGTAATTTTGTAAAGTATTATGGTATGTTTATCTTGCTGTGATGTTAGGGACACTAAACAAATATTCAGAAATGGTTTCTCAATATTATTTTGAATCTTGCCATTCTTTGGGTTTCTTTCTAACAAGTGTTGCTTACCCCATGCTTCTCAGATTTTGACTTGGGGATCTCATGAGCTTTAAAACCTGTAGAAAATGGGCATCTGAGCTGCTTGCAGTTCTGAGACAGGCTTAGAGTAAATATTTGTTTAAACAAGTGGAGAAACTTAACTGCTGCAGAGCAAGGGTGGGGAAAATGTTTGATGGTAGCTGAATACAATGTAGTTACATTTCTGAAACTTCTGGTAAGCAAAGCCCAAGCACCTCCAGAGAGCTGCTGACATCTGTCAAGCCAAAAAAAACCCAACAAGCAAAAAAAGAAACAACACAAAACAAACAAACAAAAAAAAACACAAAATAAAAAAAAACAAAAAACACCCCACCCAAAATCCCCAACCAAACAAAACTTCCATAAACATTTCAAAAAACTCTGCTGATGATTCTAGTCTGGTTATAACTTTTTCTAACTTGGATGTATTTTTTAACTAAGGAGGTTATAAATGGACCAATTTTTGTTTTGTACCTTCCCTGGGCTACACTTGTGGAAGCTTTTACCATTGCCTCTCTAAAGGGAAGCTCTTCTAGTTGAGTCCAAGAGTAAGCAGTTAATTTCTCAGAGCTGTGATTTATCTCTAGCTATTCCAGAGTTCACCCTAGGAAGGGCTATGAAAGCTGTGATGGTGAGTGTGACAAGTGCTTGGAGTGCAGACCGGGGGTGGGAGGGGAAGCTAGTGTTGTTCTGACCTCATCTACAGCTTTATTGATGGAACCAGACAAAAATACCTATTAAGGAGAAAAGCATCCTGCCATTTTTCCTAAGTCTTTAACTAGCCTTGGTGTTATTGTTACACCTTTTCCTCTGTACAGGAACACTGCCATGAGAATGCTGAACCAAAGCTATTCCTTTAATCCCTTCCCATTCTGAAGTTAATGCTCATTCAGCATTCCATTAGAATTCATCTTGAGCCACAAAGTATTATATCTACACATGTTTTAGTGCCACGGAGGTTTTTGTGGTTTTTTTTTTTTTAATTATTGATTAGAAAGAAGTCCCATCAATACCTTGCCCTGTTAGAAATGCTAGACTTCTGCAGCACTTTGGAAAGCATACAGTCAGCTGATCCTGTATGCTCCAAGTGTGAATACTGCAATGAATATAAAGATGATGCCTAGACATTTTGTATAGACACTTCCAGAATGAATTAAAGAAAAACAATTTCACTTTTTTTTTTTATTCTTTATTCCAGAGTCATAGATTAAGATAAAAGATTAGACAGCAAAACAGTTTGGGCTCTTGACATTCCTATTGGATTTCTAGCCACTAAACATGAGTTTCTAGTTCTCTACAAAATTTAGACAAACCACCACTTTAAACCAGTTCTTCATACCTTTAGTTCTGACTGAAAAGCAAAAACTTTGTGTACTTGTGCTTGCATAAGACTTCTCAGTCAGAATTATTAAAGTCTGTAGGTGCTGCACAAGGCAGAAGTTTATTTGTTACTGCCTTGTGGAGCTCTTTGTTAAAGAAAGAACAAACTTTTCTTTTCCCTTCTACCAGAACACTAGCAGCACAGATGGCAAGCTAAAACTTCTCCCCACACCATAGCTAATATTTAAATAGTTATTACTTTAAAAAGTGCTAAACAAGACAGGCTGAATTCTTGTTCAGATATTCAAAGACCATATGATAAAAGGCTCACTGCGCATACAGAAGTACCCTGAGGGGGCCTTAAGATGGTCACTCAACCACAGATTTCAGGACATCAGCATCATGAAACAGTGGTGTACGTTTACTCACTACTTTCAATTTCATCCACAGATATAAAATTTTCAGCTAGGTTTTGGGAATGCCAATTTATTTTCTCTCTTTCCTGGATAATAAATTATTTTTTGAACAAGCTGCCCTCAAAGCTACAAGATTATCATTTTATGTTGTACTAACTCAAAGATTAAAATCTTCACTCAAAAGATGAGGTCATGCTGCATGAAATTTAAGGCACATGTATTAAACCACACTGAAGTGCATTACATGTCCAAGCTCATCACTGCACCTCAACCAGAACTGAGATTTGGTCTTTTTAATGTGCCTGCAGCAATACAGTAGCTTGTCTTTTGTGGAAGAAAATAACTTGACAAAACAAAGTACAAATACCAGGGTCTAACAGCAACAACAAAAGCCACTAAGAGGTCCTGTAGAGAAAATATATGTAAACTTAAATCCTATCACAAAACAAGTGCAAGTTCCCTTGTGGCTGTAAATACTCTCCCGGATGTAGAAAAAAACTCCTCCACATGAAAAGGTAATTTATCAACCACTACTACCAGTTGTCAGGAACTTTTCTATGACAATCAGATTATATAGTCTATGTCAAAAACTGCAGAGGAGCAGCTTTTGGCTTCTTGCATACTAAATGGGATTAAACTCTGGCATTGCCAAGACTGAAGGGCTGAATTTTTACTGGGCCCTGTGAATTATAATTGTCTTCTTTAGTAAGAGGAGAGTTACTTGGGTAAAACAGCACTGCATCATGTAGCAGGAATGTATTTTAGTTAATTACAGTACCTAGATACATAATCAAGGGTATTTTCCAAAAAATGAGGATGAAGAATGCAAAAAGTAACTTCTTTCACTGCTTCTAGTACTGCTTCTTGGCTGCAGGCTTGTAAGACACCAGAAGACCGAAGGAAGCATACCCGAATAAAAGTGTCTGAAGAAACCAATGAAACTGAACTGCTGGGTCAGTAATTCCTTTAGATCTGTCAGATTAATAAAAGCACAAAATGTGTCAAAAAACTTACGGTCTTGCAGATTATACTGTGATACTTACAAAGTAAGGTTAGATATTTCTACCCATCCTTTATACAGCAGACTTGATTAGAACACTTGAACCTAGCATCACTAATTTCTATCTGCTGACACTTACTTCCTGCAGTAACTAAACATACCAGTTCTTGTGATTTTAGTGAGTTTTAAGTTATCTTTCAGAGATTTCATGCATACAATTTCCTCAGTAATGTATAAATTGCAGTTTCAGCCTATGTATTTGCAATTACTTTATCCTAGAAGTTTATGTATAAAGAAACAAGAAATTAGAGTATCTTAATAGTAATCTTAATACCCAAGTCTGTATATAACTTTTTGTTGAATACAGTAGGTAGACTGCATGCTAGTAGGTCAATGAGCCCTGACAATTACTTTGTGATACAGGACAGAGAAGCACTCTAACTGAATTTGTGGATAAAAAAATACAGGGATAAGAGGCTGAAGGCACCTGACTTGATTTATTAAACAGAGACCTTCCTATACTGGTTAGTTTTAACTTAGCATTTGTGAATTTTTTGTGTATTACAGAGGATGTCACTTTTCCCTCCACTTCACTGCTGAGAAATACTACTGAATTTTACAGAAAAGCATGGGTATAAGCATGATAGCGAAACCAACGTATTTCACATGTCCAGTAAACTATTGTGAAGCTACACTCTGCTCCAACTCACTAGTTTACAAAGGAGCTCCCTCTACTGACCTTTGCTAGAAGAGTACAGCTGTTAGTTACTCCCTGGCCTGTACATGTACAGTGACTGTGTAGCAAGTGTTGACAAACACATTTCTTAATTTTTTTTATTAATAATCACAGCTGCAGTGTTTCCAAATGGGTGCAGAAACTGGGAAACAGTTTGCTTCATATACCTGCTTATATGAAGCAAGCTTATCTGAATAGACCGTATGCAGAAATACAGGCCAACAGCCAGTGACAGTACTACTATTGATTAATGAATTTCTTCTTCCTCCCTAGTTCTTCCTCATGCCTCTTTTGTGATGTTCATATGTAGACATCACTTTCATATCAGTAAAAAGCATACAGCGTTTGGTACTTGTAGTAAAGTACAACAGTTCAGTAATGTACAGAAATATGCTTGAGGAGATTATGATGGGCAGACAATCTGTTTTCTCTTACAGACTTTACTCTGTAAAACTCCATTATTTCATTACAATTCACCGATTTGGTACATTCACTGGTAATCAAAGTTCCCTCATACTTAATCACCTCAAGCATATATACCTATCTATCTGCAGAATCAGAATTACAGTTTTAACTTTAAAGCTACATAATTTAAAACTGAAGCTTGGTAAAAAATTTATTACTAACTCCCATTCTGAAGGCATAAAATGTTCATCCATATTCTATTATCTTGAGAACCACCTTAAACAGCTTTCCATGGAACAAAATCCCTTTTCCTCCAAGAGATGTTACCTGAGAAACCTGTGACAGCTGTGAACTTGACTAAATGAAGTGGAAAGACACCATTTTTACAATGGCAAAGAGACTGGCCAGCTACTCTGTAAAGTATGAAAACCAATACCTAGGTTCTTCTAAATTGTTACAAATAAAACTCAAGTGAACAGAAGGACAGTGTGTTTGCACAGGCTACCTTTCCAAGTAATTTGTTACCCTAAGATAAGACTTAGTTTGCCTTACTTTTATAGTACAACTAGTCAAGATATTTTATCCCACACAGCTGCGGATACAAGTAGATCTTAAGTAGTCCCAAACAGAAATATCCAATTGTATTCTCACAATATAGATGCAATCATTTCAGCATGTAATTAGCCATCTTAAAATTCTGGTAAGATGTGATGAAGTTGTTAACACCTGAAGTTATCAGGCTATTTCTACACTATCTACTGTTCCCTCTGCTTCCTAAGGCACCATGGTATCCAGTGAACAATTTGTTCAGAGGCAGACAGACAAACTCTGGCAAACCCTGCTGCTGCCAGTTCTGCAAGTTGCCATCACTGGCTTTTCTGCCACCATGTCAGCAGAATTTGCAGTGTGAAAGATAGCAAACTACCACTGCAGCAAGAATTTTATCAGTATCCTCTGCACTAATAACACTGCTGAGAATCACCCAAATCAGTCTGTAGCTTATGTCACTTGTACCAGAAACCCTTTTCAGAGAATTTATGTTGGGGTTAGGGGAGGGAACAACTTACTGGCACATCTTAACACCGTAGAAGGCTTCTACTACGTGAATCAACCAGGATACCCAGAACCTAATAAAAAGAAAACATGTTTTGATTTGTTGAAAATTAGGGAGAAGACTGTTGTATCTAAGATGCATTATGCAGGCAATGTAACGCTGGAAGCACAGAAGTAAGATCTCATTTTCAGCCAGAAAATGAGGTGTTTATCTCAGAAAAAAAAAAACAACAACCTGCATGTACTCTTAAAAGAGATTGAAGTCCACCGAGCAAACGAGAAGAACTGTATCTATCTCATGCAATATGCCTCAGCCTACCATTTCAAGATTCCACTGCATGTTTCCAAAAGTTTCAGCACTTGGATTAAGCCAAAAAGCTGAATGCACAGTGAAAGTTGTACAAATTAATCTTAGTCAAGCACGCAAATCTATCCTTCTACTTACACAAGTACTTTTAGTGGTCCTCATGAATTACTGAACTTTTTAGAGACTTAGTTCTATGAGCATTACTGTGTATATAGATTCAGCATATATAGTAACTCAACCAAATCTGATCTACAAATTTTCACATAGCAGCTTTTTTTTAGGATCTGTTAGGATCAATACAATACCTTGTTAAAGCAAAAATAAAGGCTTATTTTCTAAATGATGCATGGTAAAATAAACAAGAATGTTTGCTGTCTTCCTGTCTTTACAGGAGGTCAGCAAGTGAGAAACATGGTTACAAGGAAATGTTTTCCAGCTCTTTTGTTAATTAAAATAACAAAAACTAAGTTTGGTAACAGAGCAAAACTTAGCACTATGCAGTTTCTTCAGCAGATTATTTTTCATGTGGGCAGGATCAGGATAAATTCACAGCGGGGTAGAAAATGTGTTCTATAAGTGAAGCTAAAAAAAGAAGACTCCTAGAAAAAGAATTAGACTACCTGAATTACAATTTGACAAAAGACCCACTTTTAGGGTGTGTTACAAGTTTACATATGGACTACTAATATCTCCAAAAGCAGTATGGTTTTTTCCCCCCCTCTCTCATTATAACACAAATGTTAAATGCTAAGTTGAATTTTTAAACTTTCATACTGGTCTTAGCCTGCCTAGTCTGCTGTGTCCTTATACCCCATACCCTTAGTTGTAATGAGCTTCAAAGAAGAGCTCTTTAAATCTAGTAAGTGGGTTACAGGAAAGCTTGTTAACACCAAGAAGAGTCAGAAAGAGGCAACAGGAGAGATGCAAAGTAATCATACAATCAAATATTACTTACCCATAGCATACCCATTTGTGGTGGTTTTCCACTAAATAATTAAGGAAGGTACCAAACACTCCCAAATAACTATAAGGTATAGTTGAAGGAAAAAGCGACACCCACTTAAAGAAAAAAGAAAAAAAAAAGGAAAAAAAAAAAGATTACTTCAAGGCAGAACTACTGTAAACTTAACTTTCAAATTAGCTTTCTTCTTTTGCGCAGTCCCCCCAGTGCCTGCCAAACATGGCTTAGAACTCATCTATTAACAGTATAACTTTTATTCCATTACCCTTGGCCATGACCCATATTCTTCAACAACAGGACCACTAGCCTTCTAAAGCACCCTTACTTAAGAAGATTCAACCTATGTAATCTTTTTTTCCTGACGTAGAAGATGCCAAGGTGAAAAGTTTAAGGTTGCTATCTGTGTACCAAGAGTGCATCTACGCTTTAAGTGGCTTTTAAGTTAAGCTCATTACCTATTACACACAGAAGCAGCAAAAAATACATTGTCTCTGTCCTGAGGAAGTTAATCTGAGGCAACTAACCTGAAGAATTCAAATAGTGGCTAGCCTGAGAAGAAGGAATAACTATCTATAGCTGGCAGATCAGTCTGTCTTCTCTTGTCCGTTAAATAAAAAGCACAGTTTTGAAATGGGCACAGAAGATAATTAAGCGCAAAGCCCAAGACGGAAGGTGCATGCAGTGTTCAGGTATCTTGCCTGCAGTGCTCATCACTGTCTACCTTTATTTTAACAAGCTGTGGAGGAGAAGCAGGGAGCCAGCGAGCTGTGCGCTTCAGAGTCCATTGGCGATGTAAGGTAAATACTAAGCTAGGACATAGTTCACACTGGCTTATTTTTCCTGTGGTATCAATGCTGCAGTTTCTAACTGTATGTAAATTTGGCTATGCCAAGGATGTGGCAAGATGATGGATTTAAACACAAAATTTGCTTCAAGCTCACTGTTTCCTGGAATGGTACAAAAGCTGTTTTATAAGCTGTGTGGTCTGACCTGACCGTCATTTTTTCAGTGGTAGTCCTTATGTTTAGAAAATCCATGCAAACAGAACAAAAACTACAGCACGTGGAAGTCATAATATAGACTTGTCTGATATATCAGAACTGCCATTAATCTCTGCACTCCAGTAATTTGACCTATTTTAGCTTAAGTCTATTTTTACAAATTAAGCCAACATGATGACTGAACTAGTCTGTTTTTGAACAACACTATCAGTTAGCATAGTCCATAACTAAAGCCATCACTTGTGAATGCACCTTGCTTATTAGTATCATAGAATGGTTTGGGTTGGAAGGGACCTTAAAGATCATCCAGTTCCAACCTCCTTGCCCCATGGACATGGACACCTTCCACTAGACCAGGCTGCTCAAAGCCCCGTCCAACCTGGCCTTGAACACTGCCAGGTTGTGGGCAACCTGTGCCAATGCCTCCCCACCCTCATAGTAAAGAGCTTCCTAATGTCCAATCTAAATCTCCATTGTCAGATGAAAGCCATTCCTCCTTGTCCTGTCACTACAAGTCACTTCAAAAAGTCCTTCTCCAGGCTTCTTGTAGGCTCTTTTAGGTACCAGAAGGCTGCTCTAATCCATGGCTGTTCTAGAATTTTATTGCTCCACAATGTAGTTTCAATTTTGTGAATGCTGAAGTCGCTTTCACAGGCTACCTGCAACACAAAACCTCACAAGTTGTAGCACCCAGGATGCTGTACGCCACAGCCTTCCTTCACCTTGGAATTCAGGCAGTTTATTTTTCCTCTGAAATAGCTTCATGGATTTGTTCGGCTACCTCGGGAGCTGACCTGGCCAAAGCAGCATTTCTAGTTTCCTTTTAATCCCGGTTTACTTTAGCAAGCGGCGTTTCCATGGCTGCCGGGAAACTAAAAGAAACCTATTCCACAATCCCTGCAGCTTCGGAGCTGCCTGCGAGCCCCGCTGAGGGCTGCTATGGTAGCAGCAAACCCCGGGAGATGCCCATCCGGTCCCTGAGCTCCGCCGCTCCAGCTTCGAGGGCGCCGGGGAGCTGCTACAGGCCTGCTCGTCTGTCCCGGGGCCCGCAGGGGCCGGGCCCGCCGCTCCGCCCCGCGCCCACCCGCCGCTCCTTACGCCGAGGACGACCATGCCGAAGGCGATGGCGATCATCCAGATGAGCCGGGAGCGCTGGAAGTGGCAGCTGCCATCGCGGAGCCGCTCTGCGCCGCTGACCCCCACCATCCTGCCGAGCCCGCTGCCAACCGCCGCTCTGAGCGTTGAGTGCCGCCGCCGCCGCTAAGGCCGCCGCGCGGGGGGGCGGAGCCGGAGGCGGGGACGCAGCGCCGGTGACAGGCCGGCGATCCCACTAACGGGGGCGGGGGGGGTTGGCGGCCTTCACATCGGGGGGGGGGAGCGCGGTGCTGCGGGGTTACGGCCCGTGAGAAGCTGGAGAAAACCGGGGCCCTGCTGCGGCAGAAGGAGCGCGGTGGGGGCTTCGTGGTGCAGCGGGAAGGGGCAACCTGTGCCTGGCCGCGGTCTGGGCCGGCGGGGTGCCCCCAGGTGTGGAAGCCATTAGCAGGGGCAGCAGCGCTCCGTCACTTCCTGGTCAGCCTGCCCACAGCCGCCTCTCCCCGCAGTGGTATGCGGCAGGTCCCGGTGCCGGCAGCCGGCTCTTCGTGGTGCTCGTGACCGGGCAGGAAGCCGGGCACGCCCCGAGGGCCGCACTGCCCCTGGAGCGGAAGAGGGAGAACCGCAGCTTACTAAACGGGGTTGTGAAACAGCGCCAGCTTTGGAGTGAGCTTTTTAGCTCCACTCTTCTCAAATCAACTCCAGCTATTTGTTCTAGGGGTGCAGGAAATGTAGGTAATCGGGCAGTTACAGTGGGTGTAGCTCGACAAGCACCGTGTGCAGCAGGGACTGAGCCCTGCATTAGCACCTCGTAACCCCTCGCACCTCCCAGGACCTCCCCGGCCTGTCAGCTGGGAGGTGAGCAGAGCCGTGCATAGGCCGAGAGTGCTCTCTTGTGGCACAAATGGGAACAGGCAGAGAGAGAGGGACAATGAGGTCCAAAGGGGTGCCACCGGGAAAGTGCGCAGGACTATCTCTACTCTTCTAAATTGCACAGTGTCACCGACGCAGCCCACCTGCTGATTACAAATTAGCAGTAGGTCTCGCTACTGGGCTAAAGTAAACTGGTAATGACATTTCTATCACTGACCAGCTCAGTCTTACTATTTAGAATGCTGCTTATTACCCAGTGCTCAGCACCAATTCAGGTTTGGGTTGACAGCATCCCTGAGGAGAAGGACGTGGGGGTGTTGATTGATAAGCTCAACATAAGCTGGCAGTGTGTGCTTGCAGCCCAGAAATCCAGTAATAAACTATTAATAAGTTATTTGTTCTTAAAGATAAGCTACTAGCAGTGCATTTAATTTTATCAAGGGTTTGATATTATGAATACCACATAATACCTTCCCGTTTTAAAACTAATGATTTGGACCATCTTAAATCCAGCAATTTCTATTTGGTGACCTTTTGGGACTTTGAAATCAGTGCTGAACTTGTCCACAGAAGTCACCTTGGGAAAGCCTTGGGAAAAAGGCTTGGGAAAGCCTTGGGAAAGGTGCCCACAGATAGAAATATTGGGTAGCTCTTGCTTTCATTTGACCTTTGCTACCAGTTTGCTTGACAGTGACTTTGACAGCGTAGAAAAACACAGTGAGAAATGTTGGCTCTGCTGTTCTCTACCTGAAGCTGAATAAACTGCTCTTTTAAATGTGTATTAATGATGTGCATGTAACACTGGTTTTGGGTTGGGTTTTTTTTTAACAACTCATGCAACAAGTCCTGACATTTTCCCAGCATGAGCACTGTTGCACAAAAGGGTTGCTATAGAGGGGTTTAACTTTGGGAATGTTTGGATTGGTTTTGTGCTTTTTTCCCTGTCTATTTCATTCCCAGCCATTCCTGCCCAGAGCACTGTGCTTTTTGCTTGGCTCTTCTGTGGAGATTACAGAAGATTTTGATAAGAAATTCCTACAACAGTAAAACTGTTGCTGGGAGGCCACCTGTAAAACGCTGTGAGGCTGGCTACATGGAATACCCTGGAATGGGTTGCCCAGGGAAGTTGTGAATGCTCCATCCTGGTGGTGTTCCAGGCCAGGCTGGACGGAGCGTTGGGTGTCATGGTTCAGTGGGAGGTGTCCCTGTCCATGGCAAGGGGGTTGGACTAGATGATCTTAAGGTCCTTTCCAACCCTAACTATGACTGTGTGATTCTAATACTTTCAGCATGATACAGTTGCCTGGTTGCTCTGCTGATGCGGGGGGAGAGAATGTGTGGTGCTATCTAAGATGTCTTGGTATATGGCTGAAATTTCTAAAATTCAACATATTTTTGTAGCCTATTACTTAATTTCTTGCTCTAGAAAATTCTACACGAGTTGCTTCTGCCTGCCCAGAAATCCATGTGCAAAAGTTGTGCTAAGATGGCCTGAGCGTTGTTGTAGAGGTGCCTAGGACTGCCCCACACAGGGAGCTCTGCCGGCATAATACCCACCGGGAAGAACTTCTAAGGACACGATAAGGCAGTTGTGTCAGAAGGTAAACTAAAAGCAGCTAATTAAAGCATGGATGTGCTGCTGCGTGGAGGTGACTGGAGGGGGCAGTCAAGTACATAGGAAAGAAAGGGGCTGCCCGCAACCGGGCGCTGTAGCAGCAGGAAGGTGTTGGGAGGGGAAAGGCGTTGCTGCCGCAGCCATGGGGTCTGTGACCCACAGCTGGGGACGGGGCCTAACCCTTCCCCTTCCGGCTGTCCCTTGGAAGCGGATACTCACCTCAGCGGCTCGTCCATCTCTGTGGACATGTGCTTTGTTAGATTCTCTTGGGTGGCCAAAACAGGCAGGTGAGGTCAGAGGTGATGACGTTATCCTTTCTGCCAACACTCCAGTGAAGACTGCCCACACTGTGTCACCTTGGACAGAGGAGTAATTCACCAGCTATAACTGATTTACCTTTTTATTAGCATGAAGTGATATCTTTCCTGGCCCAGGCAGACTATGGTCACAGAAACAGCTAGCCCAGCATGTGGCCCACCAGAAGTAACCAGTCTCTGTGACAGCAGCCCCCACTCGCTGCTGACCAGGCTGACACAGGTGTCTGTCAGCCCTGGGCATCTCCACAGCCTTGGACTTGAAAGTGAAATAGTCACTAAAGACAACTCCCTGCTCAGATCTTTTGTGGGGATTTCAGGGGTTTGATTTCTAATCCAGGGCAGTGTCTTTGACCTGAATTTTTTAAAAAGACTGTTCCTTTTGACAAATAGAGGAGTCTTTGGAGTATTTAAGAAACTGAATACAATTCCATTTTTCGTAATTTAGTCAGAAATCCTGTAGCATGATCAAGTCTGGCCAGCATATGACATTAAACATTGCCTTCTTTCTCTGAATTGAGATCAGTAACTGGCACTTACTTAAAGCATACAGTTCAAGGTATATTTTAATCTTACTTTGAAGACACAGAAAGAGAATGACCTGCTTTCAGTGGTTAGTCTTGTGTTTCTTAGGTGTTGCTAGTATGTACCTAATAACTAATTTTGAGGGAGTAATTTTTGACAGTCTAGCTGAAAAGCTTGCTCTGTCATAATTTGCAAAACGTATGCATTTATGCCTTCATATTTTGGACCAATAGGTCAGCTACCTTTGTGGCTTCAACACTGGAAATGTTATTTGTCAGTGAGTTTCATTTATTGACAAGTATAATATAAATAAGAAATTGCAAATCCCAAACAGAGTTATGTGAATTATTGAAAAAAATTAAAAACCAATTTGTTTGACAAGTTTACAGGAAATAAAACTATTTCTGCATGCTTTAATTCACCATAACTTCTGAGGTTTTCTTTTTTTCCTTCTGTCCTGTTCAGTGCCATAAAGTGACTGAATGAAGACCTGGCATGCTGTTATGAGTTGGTGGCTCTCAGTAGCATACTACACACCCAAGTATCACCAAGGCTGAGTGCAGACACAGCTCAGGCAGCTCTGGCCACACATACCAGAAGCCAAATTTAGATTTATAGTTTGGAACATATATCTGTTACGGTGGGATTAACACAGCTCCACGTTTTTTCCAGACCTTTCCTATGCTAGGGAACATGCACATATGGGGAGCTAGCAATCAGCACAGCTGCCATGACGATGACAGGGCTCTATAGGCATTTGAAGATGAGCTAATCTGTCTTTACTCTGCTTCAAGTTGCACGGATTGCTAAACTGAGTCTATTTTTATAGTAGCCAAGGCTACAGGAAAGATAGGGAAAACATAATCTTAAAAATAAGTTGGAAAGAAAAAAACAGTGTTCCCTCATAATTTCAGACAAACATTTTTTCTATCACTTGGTTTAGATTTCAAAGTAGGTTGGTAATTAAAGCCACAAGTACTTTATAAGAATCTAAGACTGAAAGAGATGTTGCAAGATGAACAGGTAAGGCTGCTAACCATACAGTAGCATGAAAATGGGATGTACAATCTTTGAGATTTCAAAGACAATTACGTTAGTTTTAAAAGCATTTTTTTCACTGAAGTTGTGTCCATAGGGTCCTGTGGTCTCCATAGTGACTGGGTGTGGGGTTAGTTCTGCTGAAAACAATATGGACTTGTGCATTCTTCCTGCCTAATCCCTGAGACATTGCTGGCTCCTTTCATACACTGCTTATACCAGTATATTACTCTCTTAGATTTTAAAATACTGAAGTTTCTGTTGTGCCTAGTAGTGGAGAAAACTTGTTTCCACTCCAGTTTAGAAATATTTGCTATCTCTAACTTAGAGATATTGACTATCTCACTTTCATTGGGAAGTACAAAGGGTATTTGTCAGGTAGTCTGCCTCTTTTGTTTGGTGTTCTTGGTAGATGCCAGAGACTAGATAGAGACATGTTAGCTCTTCAGTGACTTTTTAAATTCTTAAAAAAAAAGGGGGAGGGCAGGAGGATTAGTCTAATTCAGACCAACCTCTGTGGCATGAGTCATCCTACTGGAGTTAGTGATGTGACTTTTTGTATAAGGAAGGATTAAGGGATTTAGCTTCTTTTAGGAAGTTACTTGGAAATGAACTGTAGCCAATTTTAAACTGGATTTGAAGCTGGTATAAAAGAGATGGGATGTATTCAGTGAAAGTTACCTAAGAAGGTGGAATTATCAATAAAACATTTTTTTATAATCAGGGTTAAATGACACAAGGCTGTAATGGCATTACTGCAAGCCATTTCTGATTCCTAATGTAACTAGTTAACATGTGACTGTTCTTTTGTAATTTTTAATGGGGAGTTAA